TTCAGTTATGACATTAAAATAGATTTTCTTAATATGAATTCTTTCTAATAATTGAATTTTTTTTAAATGAATTAATTGTTTAAATGATATTCTATAATTATTTGATGAAAATTGAATATTAATTAAATTCTTTAATCTTTTTAAATATGAAAATTTTGTAACATTTGTATTTGAAATGTTCAATTCTTGTAAAAGTTGTAATTTCTTACAAATATACTTTAAACATTCATCATTGAAATTTGTATTACTAATATTCAATTTAGTTAAATTCTTGAATGGTTTTAAGCAGGTTATATCTTTTAAATAATGAAAATTCTTTAAATTATTTGATTTTCTAGTCAATTTACAACTGATTATTGAAAGTTCATGTAAATATTTTGGATTAACGATTGAAATCCATAGAGATAAGTGAAAATTTTGTATATTATCTACATAAAGATATTGAAGATCATGACCTTTAAGGAAATTTAATGATGATAATCTTTGAATCTTTTCACCGTTAAATCGTAAACGATATAATCTTGTATTTTTAGAAGAGAAATATTGTAATATTTCTTCAATTATACCAAAATTCGATTCTTCTATAATATGAAAGATATCTTCGCATATTCTGCAAGGCAATTTAATGTCTTTCTTTGAGCAATTTTCAAGAATAGGATACGCGTATCTATCCAAATTAAAAAGGCAGATCTCTCTTAAAGATAGCATTGACAATAATATCTTCAACAAAGCAACTGCAATATTGTTTAATTGTATTAACAATGAGTCATTTATCGATTTAGGTAAATTCTTTACAAGCAAAAAAATGATTCACACAAAAAAGTATATTTATGAAAAACAAGCACATAGCTTAAATATATAATGGTGAGTTTAATATACAAAGTATATAATACACTGTATATATAACTCTATAGAAGCAAACAAACTGATGTATTCAATACAATAATAGCTTAATATAATAAAAAAGTATTACCAGTTTCTATTGATAATGCATTTTTTTTATTTGATTTCTTAACTTTTTATTAAAGAGATTTTTTCATTCAAAACTAATCGTAAATTCTACATGCACGACGGCCCGTTAGCTCAGTTGGTTAGAGCGCCGTGCTGATAACGCGGAGGTCGTGGGTTCGACCCCCATGCGGGCCAGTCTATAGTTTTTTTTTGTAATAAATAACATTCAAAACTATTGTAGTAATTCATTTCTAAATGAATTGTTATTTATTATTGCTAATTTAAATAATTCGACTATCTTCTTTCATTCATAGTTTAGTTACTCGTGTAAGGTTCCATGGTGTAACGGTTAGCACTTTGGACTTTGAATCCAACGATCCGAGTTCAAATCTCGGTGGAACCTAGACTATTTTTTTCTTTTTAGATTTGAATAGAAAAGAGAAATAGGCATACCTGTATTTTACGATTAATAGTTGATTGTCTACTAATTAAAGAATGATTTTTTATTTACAACGATATGAATAGTATCACGTAATTATTAATAGAAAGTATTAAAAAGATGTTTGTAATTCATTTGCAGTTCTTCAGTTGTTTTGTTTGTATTGAATTTAATATAAAACACATGAAAATATAAATTGGTTTTACTTTCTAGCCAGAGAAAAAACGTGATTCCAGGTAATCAAGGGTTTTCAATATGACTTGAAGGTAACCTTGTTATATTCTATTGTTTACACAGTTATTTTATCACTCAATAGTCCAAATATATGAATATATACAAGGGGAAATGATAGAAAAGTTATTAAGCAGCCTTACTTGTGTAGTTTTCATTCAACACATCTGTTAAAAGTTGGGTCAGTGATTGAGCGTTTAATTAATGACATACTATACACATTATTGCTTTTCATTAAGACATTATCGATTAGAGAAGTGTTCATTCTTAATTGACTTAATTGACAAACACCACATTTAAATATATAAGACATTCCTGTACAATGCGTATCTTGGCGACAAATAGTCATACAACTTTTAATTGAAATTTTTAATTTTGTTGAGAAAATATTTTCTGGTTTTAAAATATGAAATTGAAAAGGAACAAAGTAATTCTTCATAACTAGATTTTGCCTGATACTAGTTTCCTTCGTAATTAGGTCATCTTGTAAACTTGAATTGGATACTTTTACCGATAAGACAATTTGTTTTTATTATTAATATTGATTTGATGAAAAAAAAAAACTGAAAATTACCTGAACAGTTCAAGCGCGTGTTTGATGAATTAGTCAAAGATATTTTTTCTAAAGCAGCTACACTTATTTTGTTAGCAAATGTCTTTGAAATGGATTTAATTTCAATTCGATCTACTTCCTTTGATAAAAGTATGTCGTAATACGCATATCGCATATACAAAGGAATGGTTATAAATTTTGAAGATATCAATTTATTACTCTCAAACAAGTAAACTTTTCCAGAATGCGATTGATCTAGAAGAATTCAATAAGTAAATATAATAAATTACAAACATATGTGATATACTGCATATCAAATACCTTACCATTATTATTATATGTACAATAACCAGATTGAATAGAAATATTGGATGTTATTTGCGAAGAGCATAAAAGTTGTGAGTCCAAAGATCTACAAACAAAGAAAAAGGAAATATAAATGCCATAATAAAATTTATATATATATATATAACTATTAACTTGCAATTTAGATAGTTATCATTAAGCCATGTATCAAATGGTGATAAGTTAGACTTATACTTGCAATCTATAAAAGAAAAGTCAATTATTATTTCAATATTGTGTTCAATTTAAGAAAAAATGAATATGAATATTATCACCTATTTTATTAATCAGAATTGATAAAACACTAACATATACAGTTTTATAAAATGAAATAATGATTATTTCATTGCTAACTGTTAAAGAAAAACTTTTAAACGGATATCTTTCTATAGATACTTCTCTTGAAATGCTAATTTTTGACTTCTTCAATATACCCTCACTGTTTAATTTATCTTTTGAAATAGTAACAAATGCACTATATGAAATATCCACTTTATCTTTCGACACCAAAAAACACCATTGTAAAGTTACTAGCCAATTTAAAGATTGTAATACATGATGCGTTGGACCTTTTTTTTATTATCAAGTAACGATAAAAGAGATTCTATTAGTTGTTTTTTCAATTGAAATACACTTTTAAATATACTTACACTCTTTAAAAATGAATATTAATCCTCGAATATTATTCTTTTTACCATATTGATTGAGAACTTTTAATGTTTGATACGATACGAATGTTGAATAGTCAAATACTATTGTCAGCATTCTTTGATTCGATGATATATATGGCACCGTTTCGCAAAGTAATGGATTAATTGAATAGACAGACGTTTTCTCAGTAATCTTAAGAAAGATTTGATAAAGTTAACATAATAAATAAATCTCTATGAAAGATATTTACAATGAAATTATTCGCTAAAACCTCTTCCTGACAATATCCTTTAAAAGTATATGTTAATTTGGAAGAGAAGTAACTATAAACAGGCTGAAAATCCTGCGTATTAAACATCAAGTGCAAATTTGACATGATAATCACATATACGAAAATTGCCGTCATATCTTTCAAATCATACGATTCGATTCATTAAAATGCGTATATTATATATAAAAATGCTTTATATTGATTTGTTGATATAATAAATATTATTATTCACTGTTAATGTGCTTAGACTGTTCATTTCGTTCAAGAAATTAATTAATAATGGAAATTTTGCCTAACATACCATACACTATGTAATTATTAAACAAAACTGATTTTCTATATATATACTGAATATCAATTTAATAACCGAATTAACAGTAAAAAAATGTCTGTGTCAACTGAAGACAAGTTGTATTCATTATTAGAAATTATGAATAATTTATGAACGACTTTTTTTTCTCTTCTCTATACATCTTTATGATAAAAATAGATAAAAAAAAAGTATTAACAGAGGTCAATGACGCATTTTAATCAACTAGAATTCAATTCTTTATACATTTTTAAGACTAATTAGTTAATTATTTTATTTCGCTAATGTAGGTTTAGATAGATATTCATACTATCCATTTTTAACCGATTGTACAAATGTCAAATAATCCCTCTTTATTGAGTTTGAATCATGAAAATGATAATTCAAATTAGATGTTTTGATACACTTACCTGAACAATTTTGGCGCTCATAATAATTATACATATTAAAGGATTTGAATGAAGATGCATGAGTATGTCGAGTTGCGTAGCTCAAATGACAAAATTCCTCGTCGAATTGATAGATAACTGATCTAAAATATTTAAAAATATAATATGAAAATATTAAAGACGGCTAGAGAGAAAATATAAACAACAGACAGAAGAGGGAGGAAACAGAAATTTGCATTAGGACTTATACAGGGATAAATACTATAGTACTAGAAATTAAGTTTACTTGCAATCACTCCTGGAATCGCAAACTATTTTACAATCATCTACAGGTATAAAACCTTTTGCACTTCCCCATTCAGGAACCGTTATTTTATGACCAGCTATAGCCTTTTTGTGGATATATTCATAACAATCACATGCCACTAAAACATTCCGTCCTGGAAGTTAAGTATATTGATATGAAAAGAAAATATACAGTACCTTTATCGAGTGATAGATAGAAATAAAAGCAAAGGTATATAGCAGTATTCATTTTTAATTATTCCAATTGAAATAGATGAAGTCCTTGACACATGATAGTGTATCCTTTAGGTCTAAATTCACTATTTGATTATACAACTATTTTTCTCAATGCACTGTAATTGCTTAGAATGAAAATAGTTTTCCAACTGAATATTAATGGCGAAAAAATATGAATTTTGCAATTCTTTATCCAAAAAGCCTGATCAATATGTCTATATAAAATATATAGACAATTTAATGATTAAAATTTGCTATTCGGCAGACAATAAATCAAGTTTCTCTCAACTAATAACTATTATATTGGAAATGAAAGATTTCTAAATTATTAACATAACAAAGACTACTCCTTTTTCATCACTTTACTAAATAGAAGATTTTTATTGGGCGATTACCAGTTTCATAGAATGAGGTAAAACAAAGCAAATGATTTAAATGTCACAACATATAATATTTATGACGTAGAAATAAATTATGAAAGTTGTTGGTCTCTGCTTGTTTAGTATATTCTTATAGCTTTTCCTTTCATTTCACCAACAGTATGTGCATATAGTATACTTAGCAATTTAAAGATACACACTCTTAAAAGTTCTGTTCTTTAGAAAGAGACCTCTAGCGTGAAAGTGACTGTTCATTATATTTATTTTTGGTTATTGAAAGCTCCGACAATGAAACTTTGTAGTGTCTTGATCTCTTTTTTAGCAGTTTTAAATGAACCTGGTAATATTTCTTTGCTTCCATTTTGCGTTTTAATCTTAAATATTCATTGTTTTCTTTATTTTAGAAAGAGGCTTTTGTACATACACTCTTGAAGTTTTAGGTTCACCCGAAGTTCCGGAAGGATCCTCTTTTCAAGTAAAGTTATCCAGTAGTGTTGAAGGAGCATGCGTGTAAGATTGTAGCTTTCAATAATTATCTAAAGAACGCTTTATTACATATTACTAAGATTTCATTTTATACAGAACAAAAGATTATGAATTAGACGCAAGCGATATTGAAATAACGAAAACTTCCCTTGTCCTTCCGGTTAATTCTGAAAAAGCAACATATATAGGAAAATTTTACGTACTATCAGATTTGACTGAAGAAGAAGACGAAGTTCATAAGATAACGTTTACCTGTTATTTCGAGACTTCTATTACGACGGCTACAGCTACAGTTACAATTCTTGATGGTGAAGAAGAGGATCCTCGCTTCATGCAAGTTGTCCAAGATCAAAGAGATTTAGTTCCCAAGAAAATTTGTTATGATATTAAATCTGAAAATTATAATCAATTGGCAATTTATCACGATCTTGAAAAAAATATTACCATAACAGGAACTCTTCTAGATGATTATTATCTACACGAAATTGACCTTTTATCATTTAATTCACACGTTTTTACAACAACAAATGACATTACTTTCAATGGGATGAAAACTATTGAATGGAGTGATTGTAAGCAACGCTTTAACTGGTATGATACAAATTTTAACATAGACTGCCAAGATGATACTCTGCACGTTTGGTCTTTAAGAAAGTCAAACATCAATAGTTCATCATTTCGAATAAAGAGATCGCAAAATGTCAATATCGGCTATTATTTAGACATTTCAATAGATAATCTGCTTAATTATCAAAAGATTAGTGGGATTATCGGTAGAATAGGAAAAAATGAATTTAAATTTTTTCAAAGTACACAAGAAGATAAGGAAAAAAAAATTGGTTCAATTGAAGTTAATGGTCGACTTTTTCCAGTTAGATTCTCAAAACGATATAGTCAAAAATGTTGGTTATTGAATGTCAATGATTTACTATTTCCTTATAAACTTGACAGTTATCTTTCTCAAAAGTAATGTTTTTGCTATTTTTGAACAATGTCAATGATAGCAATGTTAAGCTAAACCTGGAAATAAACTACGTTATATATATATTAAATTGTAAACGTGGTTGTCTATTTCAATATTCAAAATAGTGTATTGAAACTTTGTAAATAAACATGTTTTATTCTTTTTTATAGAAAAAAAGAGACTAAATAATAGAATGATCATACGTAACTTTAACTTGAACTAGAACCATATATATCTTTATATGATTATAATACGAAAGAAACGATAAATTAAACAATAGGCTGGTTCTCATTGTAGTCTACGGAGGGGGTATTATAATGAAAAGGGGGACTAAGTCCTTATTGTGGAATAAAGTTCTTTAGTACTATTATTAGTATATTTACCTGTCTTGTATTTGTGGTTTAAAACCAGTTTAAGAAAATAAACTCTTTATAAAGAGGGCTTTTTTTGTAATTTTGTCTTTTAATGAGCTCGTTTATTGCGTGTTGATTTCAAAAAAAACTTTTAATGAAGGGACGACAATCCGTAAAAATTTTATATATAGAAATTAAATTCGGTATTTTAAATCAGCTGTTGATAAAGACATTGGCAATAAAATTTAACCAACAATACATTTAGAACAGGAAACTGTTACACTAAACATAAAATCATTTAAATACAACTTTAAAAACGCTTGAACGAATATGACTGTAATATAATCATTTAATGTACAACAACTTCCATTATTAATTGATTTTATAGAATTGTTTCTCTAGCATCTTTGCAACGAATACTTTTTCAATAAATACTTTATCAATTTACCTAAACAATTAATATCTTTGTAGAGTAGATTCATATCTTCCGTAAGGTTTAAACTACGAAATCGAACACGAATGTTACTCTTCGAAGTTATAAATAGAACATCATCTTCATTTAACGTTTCGCATATAGTTAAATTATAGTTATAAAGCATTTGAAATATTTTAGATACACTTTTACAAATAATAAATAAATCAATTGGTCGAAGAGATTTTTCGTAGTTTTTTATAGAAGAAACTACTGCAAATTGATTGTATTGGCAATGAAAAAATCGTTTTTCATTTGTTAAGAATTCAAAACCTAAAGAAATAAAGAAAAATGAAACCTGTGTACTGTCCTATATTTATATAGATACAATCTCTTTCATAACTTAGTTTATAGCCTTTTAATTCTTGTTGTCTGTTTAAACAATACGTAAAGATTTCTTTATTTTTAATATTTCATTGTTTTTAATGTTTACCTTTTAGCTAGAGTTAATTTTTCCTTTAATTTAATCAATTTAACTATTTCAGCCATGGAATAGATGTATGGATTAAGAGATGAATTTAACGGGATTATAATAATAATTATCCATACATAAATAGTATCATTAACGACACTAGCTCCAAATACAGCTAAAATACCTTTTTTGAATAGATGAAAATGAATTGAATACAGAGTATTTTGATTGAATGTTAGTTTAGGAAACCTAGAATGGAGATTGGTACCCAACACAGTATATTTGTCATAACTATAATAATACTAAAAGATAAAAGCTTCTTTCTTCTCTTCCGAAATGTTTCAGGATTAACTTTTTTCGTTTTCAAAATCACTCGAAACATCAAAACGTACATAATAAGAATTGATATACAGCATATAGTCATAAAGAGGCTAAAAATAGCAAAAAAATAGAACCATCCAACCGTTTTTTCATTAGTTAAATGACTTGAAAAGCAAACTGTCGATGTTGAATAATAATTCTAATTGATTAAAAAATACGAAAACAAATGTTATAATGAAGAAAAACTACAAACAATACTGAATGATAATGGAATAAGTGAAAGAATTAAACTTAGACAAAAGACTATCGCCGTGGCCATAAAATAAAAATAGAGAGTAAATAGATTTCTCTTAAAAGGATAAACAATAGCCACGTATCTTTCAAATGTTAATAATACAATAAAAAAGTTTGATGATAATACAGCCAAATTGATCATTATACCAGATAGAGTACAGAGAGTACTAAATCTCCATTTTTTATCGAAATATATATATACACCATTGTAATATTGATCAACAATAGCTATGACAACGAGATATAGACCAGTTAAAAAGTCAGAGAAATTTAATCCCATATACCAAGAAAATGTCTTTTTGCTGGCAAATATTATCTTTAATACTAATGTAAATATGTTACCAACTATACAAGATGCCGCAACTAGCCATATAGCTATTCTTAAAATTTTTGATCCTATTAAATCTTTACATGATTTAATTAAAGATTTATTTGGTGTACATTCAATCAATTTTAATGAAATTTTCTTAGCTATACAACATAATTGGAAATATTCATTGAAGAAATATCTCAATTCGGGAAGATCATCAATCATTCGAGTTGTATCGTATTTATTAAGAGTTGTATCATTTAAATATAAATATTCTAAACTTTTGAACGATTTAAATGCTTTTGAATGAATATTAAAAAGTCTATTGTTATCAATTTCTAATATCTTTAATCTATTTAATCCAGAAAATAGGAATTCATCAATTAAATTTATGTTTGAATATGATAAATCCAAGTGTAAAAGATTTGGGAAATTATTGAAAAATTCATCTTCAATTTCATTGATTGAATTATTTTCAAAGTTAAGATATTGAACTTTCATTAATTTTACATTCAATCTATAATAATTCAATTTTTCTATTCGATTATTTTGTAGATCAATTAAAATGATATTTGTTGATAATCTATTTATGATAAACTTTGTTAATTCACCAAATGAACAGTTCAATACTCGAATTTCAGTAGTAATTTTTAATAGTTTGAATAAATTATCAATTGGTTGTAAGAATTGTACATATCTGATAAAAGTTGGTAAAGTATCTTGAACAATACTTCTTGAATGACAAATTATTTCGTATAGATTTCTACATTTACAACCAATTAGGCAATTGATATTTGAGAAACAGTAAAACTCGTCATCTCCGTGCAAACAATCCAAATTTTCGTTACAAACTTGGCTAAAATTTATAAACTTTTGTTGATTTCTGCATTTGTAATATCCATTTGGATAAAAACTTTCTAATAAAACAAGTAATTGTTTCTTTTAAAATTATCTTATTATACTGTAAAATACCGCAATTCGACTCATCATCGCTATAATAACAATGATTTATTCCGTCGCAAATACGATCTATTGGCACACAAATGTTCTTCTTTCTACATTTATATTCACCTGGATAGCAGTTCATTTGGGGGAAACATTTTTGTAATTCTTTGAAAGGTTCTTGGGGTCTTGTTAATAAATTGTTCATAGAATCGTATACTAAACGACATCGAAATTGTGAAATTGAGGAATTCGATAATGCTCTTCTCCTCTTTGCATTCCTTTCTAAGGATTCATTGCATAAATCCTTTCCAACTTTATCTTTACTATTTCGATTGGCTATTGTATCGTGGGTGTAATAAATGCTCTCTTATACCTATTTTCTTCTGTTCTTAAACAAAACTGCGGCGATTCGTCTATTGAATTTGCAGTTGGACAATCCGGCTTTAAATCGCATACTGATATAATTGGTAGGCAAATATCTTTACATTCAAATTGTAAATGACCACAAGCTAAATAAAAGATGGAATTGTTTCTTCTCGTTTTTAACTATTATTATATTTCTATTACGTGGATGGCATTTCTCATCGCTTTCATCAAGACAATTACGTTCGTTATTGCATAATTGATTCGCTTCTAAACATTGACCGTTATCGCACCTTTCATTTTAAGAGGTTTTTAAGTAACATTAGACGAATATATTGATTAATTTATTGTATAAAAATTACTTACTTTAAATTATTATTGCATATAAAAGCTGAATTAATTAACTAACTAATTAATGAATGAATTAATTAAAAATTTGAAATTGAAATTACTTACAGCAGTTCTTTTCGTCACTTCCATCTTTGCAATCAACGATAAAGTCGCATACCAGTTTAAAATTAATAAATTGTTGAATATTTTCACATTGATAAAAGGTTTGTTTATTAATATTGCAATTCTGTTCATCGTAACCATTCAAACAATCATCTTTTCCGTCACAAACGTAATAAGTACTAATACAATATCCTTGGGGTAAACAACGAAAAGTATTCTTTAAACATTCAGTAAAGTTATCATTAGAAAGTTTCTTATTTAATTCATCTCTTTGTAGTTTAAGTAAATCTAATTAGAATATTAATTATTTCAAATATGTAAATAAAGCAAAGACTGAGTGGCAATACTTAAAGGTTTTTGACAGATTACTCTATTAAAAACTGCCTTTGAGCATGAAATTGTTGAAATACCAACCGAAGTGACCATTATACATTCAGAATTTTTTATCCATTTTTTCAAATGATCAATATAGGCTATGATACGATCTTTGCAGTACCTTCGAAATTTTCTGTTTTTCCCCTCAAAGAAATATAGCAAACGGTGTATTAAATGTTATAGAGTAAAACTAACGTATTTGCAAATATCCAAGCCGATACTAAATTCAAAGGTAATTTTGCAGAAGTTAATGTTCGTCTATTAGAAGTATCAATAACATTTTGAACATCTTTTTAAACAGGAATACAGCATGAAAATCTGTAATGATTAATTGACAAAACTTGAACTTACCGATTGGCAGCGAAAGACCTATTTTAAAAAAGTAAAGGAAATAAGTGATTAATACGTAAATTTCATTTAAAACTTGATGGTTTTTACTCGAATTTAAAGATTCGTCAACGTTTATAGTTAGAAATGATAATCTATGATATTTAATATAAGAGATCACTTTTAAATCATTTTCGTTTGATATTCCAATAAGAGAGAGATTTTTTGAATGGCAAAATTCTTTTAAATTATTATAAGATTTCCTAACTTCAAAATCAACGCTAAGATAGCAAGTTGCTTGAAAACTAGTCATATTTTCGTATGGACATAACGAAGGTTTTTCATTACCTGACGATGGGGAAGTTATGGAATACAATCTAATTTTATTAACTGTTATCTAATTACCAGTTGAATATGGTTTAAAACATTCCAATATATTATGAATAAACTGAAATTTTCAATAGTAAATATGTTGAAAATATAATAAATAGACTTTGTACTATCTGCGATTCGTACTAATGATTTGTATTGGTACTGTAACATTCCAATTTGAAGAGAGCATTCATCTAGCGAACGAACGTCTACACGACATTTTAATTCAAGTGTAGTTGTTGATAGTTTATTATATGTTTGTTTTTCTCTAATGAATATAGTGCTATCCGAGTAACCAAAATATTTGCAGATTAACTGTTTACATATTTAAAATAGTTGGTTAAAAAATAATTAATATAAACGTACGTTTGTCCATCTCTTTTCACTCAAATCAACTAAAACGTACAGCCAGATATTCTTATAATATACTTCTAAAAAACCGTCTACTGATGATGGCTTATTTGTTGAATTTCTGTAGATAATTTCGCTTGAATATAAACGGAACTTGGGCTCTGCTCGAATTGAATGGTTTGAGAATTGTATGCAACAAGGAACGATTGAATGTAGAATTACTAGTTAATTTCTTTGGAATATTTAAGCATACGAGTTGACAGAATGTATTTCGATAGTGAAAATCGTGTTTGTTCTTTATTTTATGAAATTTACATTCATTCAATGTTGAAGCATTCAAATCACACAAGAACTTTGAATTATAATGTAAATCGTATTGAATATTATCAATTGTTAAAGTTTGACAAAATTGTAAATTTGCTAAATGAAGTCTCAATGAAAATTCTTTACATATCAATTTAGCTAATGTTATTCTTTCTAGCTGATCATTACGAGTTGATAAAAATGATACTGGACCATATTGTTCCGTTTCGAGCATTACATTGAACTTTCCTTCAATATGTTCAATATTTTTTGAATGATAATATTCTTCGATAAGAGCTAATTTATATTCTAAATTATTAACAAATGATTAAAACAGTCGTTTAATATAATAATGAAAATTACTTATTTTATCGTAATAAGAACATTTCAACGGTAAACAAGTTGAATTTGTTAAAAATCGAATACTTTCAACACTATTTCTATAATTTAACCAAATATTTTCAACTTTAAAATTCAATTTATATTCATTTTTCTCTAATCTTAAAACATTTTCACAAATATCACTACCAGTTTTTATCTTATATTGACAAAGTATGTAAATTTTCTTCATATACCGTACATGAACGTTAAAATTAGGAATATTTATAGTAAACATATCTAGTTGAGTGTTGAAGAAAAAGCATAAAAAGAATAATGAATGAATTGAATTTCAACAATACATGGTTTGTTGACTTTATAGCATTTTATACAAGTAATTGCAGTTTCTACAGGACGAGTGTTGCACGCTGTATTCTTTCTGGTAAAATATATAAATGAATTGAATGAATGTTATTGAAATTCAAGTAATATTTTGCCATGTACTGTATATTTACAATTTACAATCTTTAAATGAATTTGAGTTGATTTTGCAGTATATTTCAGCATTATTTTTATCTAAAAAAAAGGATTTTAATTAACGTGTATTAAATTACATGTTTTTTTTACTATACGTGAGAAATTAGGACAACTAAATATTTGATAATAGTAATTATCGTATCCGTTTGATGAACAAATCTGATATCCAGTTGATAATAAAGAATATAAATGCTTTTTATTCTTATACGGATATTTAATAAGATATTCATTGTTCAATGATTTTGCAGATATAATTCCAAAGACCGTTCTTGAATCTTCTTTTAATATTTTATTAAAGTCTACTGTAAAATTTTCATTACTTTTGCAGTTTTCTATCGTTTTTGATTTGTATAGAAAGACTTTATTAAGTAAAAGAATCTTAAATAAAAGACCATAGTAAAGATTATTCATACTGTAAACAACTCTGTTTAAATCTCTCAGCAAAAATGAAAGTAACCCTTATTAAATTCACTTTCAGCCTCTAGACTTATTAAATTTTTCAGTCGACTCACTCCTCCCACTATCTGTTGTTGTTATAGTAACATAATTTTTAATCGAAAATTAGCAATAAGAATTACAGTAATCAGGTATATGAAATATAAATATTGCTGTTCATAAAAAACAAACAGGAACAAAATCTCTGCAAAGTTGAATTAACTTTTATCCCTATGAAACTATTAGTTATTATTGGAACATTGTATAATATTTTTATGCTTGTGTATTCAAGTGACTTGAATTGTTTGAACAACAGTGCTAGTAGCATAATAGCAGATAATTCGATAAATTCGTCTATAAATCATATTATAAGAGAGGATAATTATTCTATATTTGGTCCATTGGAGATAAGAAATAATGGACAATTTTATTATTTAAAATCATTATCGAAAGGTTTACTGGATGAAAATGATTTTTTAACCGATTATTTATTTACATTAGGTAGAAGAATGTGTACTAAAATGGGATACGATTCTTTGTATCATCAAACAATAATATGTCCAGAGTTTAAACGTTCGTTTCATATTCTTAGCTGTTCAAATCGACTATCCTTCCAAGTTTTGAACATAAAAATCAGTATAAAAATATTTTTGTTTATAGATAGGAATCAAGTGAAAATAAATTGCCAAACAAATTCAGAGAAAATAGTTCATTGCTTCCTGTAAAGGAAAAAAGATAGATTTTCTTCATTTCCTCCTTAATAACGTTTTCATTCTTTCTATTAGAGAAACATACTACTGTTCAAAAAATCTTTTTATCGATGACGTCATCTGTATAAAATGTCTTAAAATACAGAAAGGATGTTTGTATTGAATAAATAGAAGAAGAATTGAATTATATTGGTCTTTTTCTTTTTTTTTTTTAGATTTCTACGATACTTTAACGGTTTCTAGGAAACCTTCGTATCTTCGTTGGCGAATAAACAACTTATCTTATAGGATATGTAAAAGACCTAGAATTGTTGGAAAATTATGCAAATTCTATTATAGTTTTACTAAAGATAACTTTGAAAATATTTTAATTATTAAAAATAGTTCATTCTGTTTTAATATAAGAAATATGAGTATAATTAAAAATACAAACGACAGAGAATATAGGTCAAGATGGAGTCGTTGTAAATTAAATAGAAATCCAGGTAATTTCAATATCTTATTGTAATCTATTTTAATTATTTTCATATAAATAAAGATATAACTATTGAACAAAGAGAGCAGTTTTTCAACTATTTGAACAATAGTATTGAAAATGATCACCTTTTACCAATGATAGTTGACAATTACGGAGCTCATTTTATTTCTAGTCGTTCAAAAGTCTCAAACTTAATATTTTTAAATCTAGTTTGTCAACATTTCTCAAAGGAAACAATTCAAAAAAAACCTAAAATATGTAAAATTGAAACTAATGTAAAATTATTGAATAGTATGAGATTTCTATACAAAATCAGCTGCTTAAAAAATGCTAAAAGACTATCAGATTGCCATTTGAATCGAAATATTGAAATGGTTCAACATGCACTATGTAAAGTTTATTGTAGACATCGGAATCAATCTAAACGTTCTTATTCAGGTATGGAAAATACTATAAAAGCTTGTTATAACAATAATAATACTATATTGAATATTTTCGAAACTAGAATTGAATGAGACGTTCAGACTTCTTACATCGTCTGAAGGGCTATTATATAGAAATTCTACAAAATCTATGAAAAATCTTAAAGGTCATCTACAAACAATTAAACAAGGATTATGGTATTTTATTCTCATTCCAGACTGGTATCATCGTATTTCAAAGGTTACTTTTACATAATATTTCAATTGTTTATATTAAACAGTACGTTTTCAATCATTTAAAGATTATTTGCAAATATTTCGGCTTTACGGACGGATCATTTACGTATATAGAATACTCTTCTGAAATACTCTTTCCAATTTTATTTAAATTGTACTGTTCAACTAATGCAAGCAATCTAAATAACTGCCAATTAGACGTCGATAACGAAGAATATCCTCCATCGTTTATAGGATTAAATTGTTATAATGAAATGAAAATTGAATGTAAAAATTGAATTAATCTAAAGATATTTAGAGAGAATTCATTAAACTATTTAATAAACAAGTTTGTAGATTGAATGATAGCTTTTTAATTGATGAAAAATGTTATAAATTGTATAAATTCGGAGAAAGGAGATCATTTAAATACGCTAATCAAATATGCAAAAACGTTAATACTTCTCTTATTGGAGCTAGTTTTATAGAAGAAACAGGACTACTATATGAAATGGCTTTATCAACAAGACTATCGAATTATAGAGCTATTCGTGAGGCATTTTTATGGGGTAAAATAATTGATTATTGAATTGTTTTCACTTGAAATAAAACATTCATTTTAGGGATATCTGGTTTTGAACATCCAAGAATACCAATAGGTTAATATAAATACTACATAAAAAGCTTTAAAATACAATATTTCTTATTTAAGAGATATATAGAAAGGTTAATAATAACAATATAACATTCTTTGTCAATTCCGACAATACACCAATTGATAGAAGTCATTGTTTTAAACCAAACTCTTTAAAGTTAGAAGGATAATGTTTATTGAAAAATCTTATTTGTTAAAAATCCTTTTATAAATTCAATATAGAAAAAAATATTTTGATTGTTTTACAAACTATAAAGAGTATCTAGATGAAATGTATGAATGGGATTATCAACGTGATTGTACAGCTTTTGCACAATTAAAGTATACTTCCGTATCTTGTTATTCTGCTAATTTTTTAGTTTCTCTTTGCGAATACGAACCTGGTTTTTTTATTATTGCATAATATTAAATTGTATTGTAAATTCTTCTCTTTGTTAGAATTCGTAAAGATATCATTTGAAAGAAACCCAATTCTAAAAATAACCAATTCTATTGAATTCGTTTGCCCGTCCCATTTATTTGAATGTTTACCGGAAAAGTATTGCATCAATTTCTTAAGTGTTTGCGATGGTATCGTCGATTGTAAATCTGGAAATGACGAAGAGAATTGTAACCTTGGCAGACAATTTGTTTGCTCTCCAGAACGCTTTATACAATTACAATTAGTGTGTAATCATAGAGAGGACTGCCCAAACGGAATAGATGAAAAAGGCTGCGGTATATATTTAATACAACAATTATCATATAAAAGATTACTTTCCTCTTTAAAGTGTTTGATTGTAGCGAAAGAAATCAGTAGAAAAATTTCCTTAAATTATTAAGAAATCATCAATTTTAACATTTCATTGACATATTTTAGATTTAAATGTATAATAGGCGATTGTATTGATCAAAATATGGTTTGCAATAATGAGAAAAATTGCCCAGATGGTTCAGATGAATTTTGTTCAGGTAAAAGACTAAATTGGAAAGGTAATAATCAGCTAAAGTTTAAAATATACAACTTAGAACAATGTGGAAAATCTCAAATAAAGTGTGATAATAAATGTATAAATAGCCGTAACTATTGCGATTCAAAAGTTGACTGTCCAAACGATATTCTTGAAGAACGTGGTACTTGTCTAGAAGAGATAAGAAAGTAAATAGATAATAATGATTTTATATAAAACCAACGATTTCTAACTATGTAGAATTGCTGGCAAGAGCCTTGTTTGTAGTAATGACTTTCAAAAGTCTCTTCAACGTCTCTTTTATAATAGAAATAGAAATTTTACCAAATGTAGAATTGTTTATAATAGTATGGGTGAACTATTAACAAAGATTCATTATCCCTACTTTGATTTGGAAGATTGCAAAGATTTTAAATGCAATATGGGTGAATATCAATGCGATAAAAGTAACTATTGCGTGCCTATTCAATACGTTTGCGACGGCATAAATCATTGTACATACGGAGATGATGAAAGTGGATGCAGTAACGTTTTCTAGCATTATTTTTACTTAACGACAACAATTTACCTTTTTACATATTTTCAATTAAGGAAATTTTTCACCGATGGGATTTTTCAAATGTAAGAATCAAGAAATGTTTTTGAATATAAATCAAATATGCGATAAAAAGTACGATTGTCTTCTTGGAAATGATGAAGAATTCTGTTTTAAATATGAAAAATGTTCCAAATTTTGCAATTGTTTTATGAATTATGAAATATCTTGTAACTTTCCTCTAAATTATGAAAATGATACAATATTTTCAAAATCTTATCAATCGATTACAATTGAAAAGATGTCATCTTTAAAAAAGAATACGTTTATTCCATCAAATAATCTAAAGTATTTGAATGTATCATTCGCATCATCTATCAATTTGGAATTGTTTCATTATCCAAATATGATTGTTCTTATTCTAAGAAAGAGTCAACTGCAAAATATTCAAAATATCTTTATATTTCCACTAGAAAAGTTACAATATTTAGATTTAAGCTATAATAAACAATTGAAATTTCGTAAGAATGATTTCATTCACACGCCAAATCTTTTGTATTTGGACATTTCATTTACAAATATTAATAAACTTTTAAAAGATACTTTTAAAGGATTAAACAATCTTATTGAACTTCGATTAATGTGGTGTAAATTGATTTTAATTGATAAATATTCATTTTCTTCTATGAAATCATTGGAAATATTACAATTAAATGGTACAGATATTACAGTTTCAACTGCAATTAAAATCATTAAATCTATGCCTAATTTATATGAAATTCATACAAATTTACATTTAACTTGTTGCTTGGCCAAAAGACTTTCAAATTTAGTTAAAATTTGTTCACCAAGTATCATAATTTTCAAGTATTGTAATAATTTACTTAATAGTTCAACGTTTAAACTGATTTTTTGGATTATTGGCATATTAGGCCTACTAATTAATATTACGAATTTACTTATGAATTTAAATAAGCAATTTAGAAACTTTTACCAATGTTATATTTATTGGATAATAAGCGAAATATTAATTCATATATATACTATTTCAATAAGTTCAGTTGATTCGTATTACAATAATTTATTCGCCGAAAATCAAGATATATGGAAAAGTAGTAAATTATGTAAATGTTTATCAGTAATAATATCATTTTCTCAATTAACTTCAACATTCTATTCATTGATAATAATGAATATGAAATTATTAAAATTAAAAATATATAACAAATCTAATAAAAAGCTATTTCTCTTTACAAATTTTTTAATTTTAACTGTTTTTTTAACATATTCAATTTGTCTTGAATTTTTTCAAAAAGTAATTAACAAAAATTTATTTTTTTTTTATTTCTGAAAATTTTGTTTTTTTTAAAAAAAAAGGATAAATCAAGGAATTCTAATGTGTGCTTTAACTATTTACCAACACAAATTACAACTATACTTTCTTCTAGATCCTTTTATAAAATTATTAGAATTATCATCTTTCTATTGCCGCATTCCATTCTATCAATTATCTTTTTAATAAATGCATATTTATTAAAAATATTCAAGTGGGATAGAAATAGTCAACATATCTTTATTTCTATTACAGTTGTAGCGTTTCCAAGATGCTTCTTATGGATGATATTCATCATTTTAGGTTCTTTTTACCTTTCTGTTACAGTTCTTACTATCTTTACGTGTCTGTCCTTTTAACCTTAGAAATTGTATTGATCAACAAACATTCAAATTCTTCGAGTTTAACTCAAATTGTTATTCATAAATGGTTCATTATTATATACTTATGGTGTTCTTTAACTCATTCTACGGTCATCTTCTATATGGAAATTAGGTCTCGAATTCATTCTAAACGTTTTGAAAAACAGGAAAAAGAGTAGTTTTATTAAAATTTTTCAATTTTAACTTCTAAACATAATAGGTCACTTTCTTTGATAGGAAAAATCAATATGAGAACATCAGAAGAGAGAATAGGATTAAGAGTTGGTTCAATCATTAATTTAATGTTAGTATAAATAATAAAGACAACTTTACTATAGGTTTAATGATATTCTCCGCAATAAAAGAATGTTCAATTTGTAATTGTTTTTATAATAAATTGTGTCCTCAATCTATCCTTTGGCGTAATAGAAATTTTTCCTCTTCAATTATCATCTACTCTGAACTTATTAAACAATTAAACTATATGCATTCATTTGGCTATACTAGTGGAGGATTATTGAAAAATTTCATATTTTTTAAGGTTAAAGGCAAATAAAATACTTTCTATTCATACAAGTAAATACACTTTTTAGAAAATCAATTTAAAAGAAGAATATTTCTTTTCATCGGCGTCTCTTCAAGTTTTACAGGATATTTATGATGAAAAGAAAGATATTTTATTCTTTGGTAACTTCATAAAGTCATCATTAAAGAATAATTATAGACTTTATTATAAAGATTTTGTATTAAATCAATCTATACAATATTTATGAATTATCATTGATTTATTTTAAGTTTTGATATCTCTCCACTTTAATTGTATAACAGAATGCAATATCTGACAATAGTCCTGACAAACAACTATAGCAACAGTTTTAATGATTTAATAATTGTACAGTATATCAATATAAGACAAGTTTGCGAATTTAGTGGCACAAGAGTGATGATTGTCAGACAATACCTTCTACCAATAAAACATTTTTCCATTTTAGGCTCTAAAACCGAATTGAATTCTATAAACAGAGCATGATTAAGTGATTGAATGATTGATAGCTTTGAATTATTAACAACCCTGTCTATTTTCTCCAATATACTCTTCGTCTCATGATATAGTCATTATCATCAGATTATTATCTTCTTTGTCTAGTTTCATCAGTGTGGTTACAATATAAACAGTAAATGTATAGATATCTTCAAGATGTATTAATTGCTTGTATACAGTCAGCTTTTTTTTAAATTAGTTAAGTATTAGATATTAATAATATTCAGTTAAATATATTGAATAATGGGTGAATATTATAACTATAACTTTGAATTTTCTGCTATTTTCTTAATAAACTAAAAGATTGTGTAACAATGAATTCAATAAAATATCCTTTCTAGTTCATATTTCAAAAGTTCTTTTTCTAACTCATTTTACATATGTAAATTTATTGATTGTTCAAACATCAATATAATCACCAAGTTGAATTTTAATTATTTATACTTACAATGACAATTGTATAGGATAAATAGCAAAACTGCCTTGTTGTATTTAAAGTATTTTTGTTATTTCGCATATCTTCATTCTTTCTTCATAATCTTGAGAATTTACATAGACAGCTTGGCATTTCTTACCTCTACAATTACAACTGAAATTGCAACTTGTAGCATTTACACTTTGCAAGTCACATGAAAGGTAATTTCCTTCAAATACTGCATTTATTTGGTGATCAAGTGGAACATAAACAATAATATTACTTCCAGTCAGAGTTAAAATTCTAGAATTATAACAATTCAAATTTTCACCATCAATTCTAATAGAAAAATTATGATTAGCAGATCCCGAGGTTGGCCAAGGAAATCTTATTTTTAATGGAGTGCTTGTAATAGTTTTACAAGTGGTTAATTGTTTATCAAACATAGCATGATTTGTCAAAAATGTTTTTATATTATCTATTTCATTAATCATCAAATTTCCAGCAAAGCATGTAGTTTTATCATATTCTTTATTCAGGTTATTCAGATCACCAGTCTTTTAAAGTATAATAGAGATTAGAGAAAACCTTTGTCAGTTTTATTAACTTACTTTTAGTTCTATATTTGTTGCAGAAAAAACAACAACTTTATCATTTGCAACAGCATAAGTAATAGCTTGTGTTTTTTCGGCAGTTGTATAAACTGAATCAACTGATTGATCCATACCTCCAATGAAGCAGCTTAATTGATTGTCAATTAAATTATGATGAACCCCATAATTCACTAACTGCTGGTAATTTTCACATTGGTGTTTTAGCCAACAATGATTAGTAGTACTTGTCAGGACAGCCATACAGTTGCTAACAAGATCACAATGATATAGACAATCTTCAATTGACCCTTTCTGTTCATCAATTATATCCGAGCCAGAACAATCCCAATTATCCTTATACTTTTTAAAACCCGGAAATTCATTCTTTGACAAATAGCAACCATATCCAGTTTCGTGACATAAATTTCCAGCATCGCAGAGTGATTTTGCATCGTTTTTATCTGATATAAACAACAATAGATATTGAAAAAAAGAAATATAATAGAACACTTGTCATTATCTATTTTTACTCTTTTACCTCCAACATATACTCTTAAATCTGCACCAATATTGCATATATCTTCAGTAGAATATTGAAACATCTTAAAAAAGAATACCAAACAAATCAGTCTTGGATAAACTTGCTCATTATCCATTATATAGTTTTTCATACTGAACATTTAAAAAAAGATATACAGTATTTCACAAGCCAGAGTTGTTAACGTTCAATTGTCGACTCTATTTGCAAATATTTGATTCTAACGTAGAGATGAATATAAAATTGATATCTTTTATGAATAATTGAAAATCTCACTATAAAGCTTTTATTAACATTCGCCTTTTGCTTTAAATTTAAATTAAGGCTGCTTTGAAAATTATTACCAAGAAGATTGTGTTTGAATCTAGTTGTATTATCATATCATTTTAACTTTTCCAATTAAATGGAACATTTTAAATCCAAATTGGCAAGCAGACAACGGACGGATTTTGCTATTAAATATAGAACAAATTATTTATTGCATAGTATCTATAATTTGGATACGACAGAAAACGTCCCCGAATTCATGGTTTAACCCTAACCCTAACCTAGCCCTTGTCTCTCTAACCTTTTTGATTACCCCTAACCCTTAGATGGAACCCCCCTAACTACAAATCAAAAGCTACTTTACTCCTGCTAACCATTTTTCAATCCGAAATCTTGCTTTCAAAAAACTCACTTGGGGACGTTTTCTGTCGGCCCCTATAATTTATTTTATATAAAAACTATTGCATATATTCTCCTATATTCTCTTGAATGTTCATTAAAGATGGACGTTCAATTAAAAATAGACTTCGCAGAAAAAATTATCCTATTATTTTTGATAGGATAAAAAAAAAACTGCTATTAACAATGCTTCGATACTTCGTTATTTACGTTCAATTAACATTGCTAGTTTCAAGCATTGAAGATAATATTCAATTGGAATGCATAACGCACGTGTTTTTTAAAGGTTGGAGAGGAAGAGGAGTAGAAAAATCTCTAAGTAGATCTTGACGAAACATAACTTTCCATCTATAAAGTTGAATTTTCAATTATAAGAAAAGTATTAACAATATTTAAGAATAGAAAACGTCTCTTTTGGTTCATTTTTTTTCTTCCAGTGTTTCTTTAGAAATGCTTTTTTGTATGAAAAAAACAAAAAACATCCAAATATTTTGCACCATTAGGAAATTTTTGGCTGTACGATCAAAAAGGAATTTCTAGCAGGCCAAGGATGGATGATTACTATAGAAAATATTTAAACCATATTCCATTGAGTCATGATGAGAAATCCAAATAGTTGTGAATCATTGTAGCATTTGACTTTGGAGCAGATTTCATTCGTTGACAGTTGAGAGGGTTGAAGAATGGAGAGTTGTTAAAGTTAAAAGGAAAACGAGAGGGTAGGAATTCAATAGTAGTAATTTAATAGAAAACTTGAGGGAGGAAGAAGTGAGAATCTGAAAATTCCTTTACCACAAACACACAATAGAAAAGGCAGCAAGTGTTCAAACAAAATCCATATTTAGAAAAGTTGAAAGACAACACCAAAAAACACCAGAATACAAATGATATTAATAATCCAAAAAATCCACTATACTAATCCACTTGGTATAAAAAAATGTAGAAAAAGCTAAATATGCTAAAAGTTTAAAAAAAGCTTTTTTTTCAAGAGTTTACCACCAAAAAGGATTGGGAGAAAATCATCTAAATTCCTTCTATCTTTAGGATATAAAAGTATAGAAAAAATTGATAAAAAATGGTAAGGAATAGCTGGTTATTATCTTTTTCTTTACTTTGTTACTAACTAATCTCTTTACCTGATTTTTGTTTCTTTTTTTTATTTCATGCTATTTTGTTTAAGAACAAAATGAAAAGACATTAATCTAATTGTGAACTAATAGACAATAATCAGTATTAAAAGAAAGTGTTGAGGGATAAAAACTTCAATTTTACTAATATCAAGTGATTGGTTAAGTAAAGGAAAGTTTAAAATAAAAAACTAACTTTGAGTAGCTGCTTCTGCTCATTCTTAAAATGATCAATAGTATTAAAATTTAAAAATTACGAAAATAATGAATATGTTAAAAATTGGATAGTTTTGAGTAGAGCAGACCGTTAGAGTCTAAGCAGCTACTGAAGAGTGTAATCTAACTCGTCTCTCTTATATATGCTACAAAGTACAGTAATTTCTAGAAAATATTGCGCAATTTTCCTTGCTCATCTAGGTACTTTTACTATATGTAACTATTGGGAAATCCCTTAGTAGGCACGATGAGTCATCTCTACCGCTTATTCACAAGTAATATATCATAGGAATGACTAATCTGGAAAAAGAAATCGTATTCCGTACGAAAAGTAAACGTAACAAATACGTAAAAATTTCATAATCTCTAATCTTTGTATTCAAACATTATTGATTTTAATTGAAAAACAATTAAAAATAATTATTGATTGAATTGAATTTGTTGTTCAAGTTGATGTTTTAATTTAGATATTTCATTAAAAATATCAGAATTTGTTGTAATTTCTATAGAATTATTTAAAACTGTTACGCAAGCCTTTTTATACATACTGAAAGCGTTATAAGAGACGTTTCTCAAACGTTTACCATTCAGAATATTTGCTTTTATTGTACAATCAACGAAATTTCTCTTCCTGTTTATCATCCGTAATATTTGTTTGTCTTTTGAAATATTGTTTGTCGGCTTTACACCTTTATCTTGTTGTTTTGAATGATTTCTACAGATTTTTAATAATTGAATTAAAAGGAGAAACGGTAGAGATGCAATAAGTATAAATAGAATGATTATGTTGAGAGGAGGAGGTATAAAGTTCTCGTGGCTGTGCTCTATATATTTATTAACGTTTCTCGTTGCTAATATTAGATGAGCGGTATCTTGAATATACGTATAGGAATTACTTAATTTAGCAATTAAGAGATTCATAAGTAGGACGTTCGTTGCAATAAGGTAACAAGCAACAATAACATATAATAGCCACGGTATTTTTTCAACAGTTTTCAACTTTAAATCATCGTTTAATTGGTCTAAATTGAGTTCACCGAATATTCTCCAGAATTGGGGTAATATTATTTCACCAGTAATATTTCCAATAGAATCACTTTGTATTGACCAAGAACCGGCTACTCCGTGATAAGCAACTCCGAACGTTATGATAAATAGGAAAACTATTATGGAAAATTCCAAAATATGAAAAAATACCACTCTCATTGCCGGGATAATATGACTGAAAAAGCTTATAAATGTCATAAATTTAAGGAATTTTATCAAAGCAAAAAGTAAGGTTAGAGCGTAGGAAATTCTTGCGTAGATGAATGATTCATTGTTCAATTGGCGTTTAAGGATAATTGAAATTAGGAAGGTTAATAAAAATAATAAATCAACCAAATTAAAATCCCATTTATGATAGAAGAGAAATACGTTTTTTGTGAATTTAAACATATAGAATTGATAACCAGAATATGGATTTGCTACGCTCTTTTTCAATAGTTTGTAATATTTCCAATGTTTTCTAAATGAAATATACAACTGTTGTAATTCTTCTATTACGTAACCAATGCCTAAAATAGGTAAAATTATCTCGGAAGCACTTGTTTTTTCATTATTTGACAAAGGACGAAGTTCAATTAATATAAAATAGCTTAATAATGATAAAAATCCAACGTCGAATAGTAATTTCATAATGAATAATAGGTATAAAGGAATTTTTAGTTTGTCGTTGAATAATACAAGATGCTTGTTTCTAATAAATTCATCAATTCGAGGTTCTACTATCAAATTTTTAGTGTTACAACTACTTAATAATTCCACGAAATTTGAATTATTTTCAATAGGATGATCCTTATCTAATGAAACTTTTAAAAGAGAATTATTTACTCCGTTTAGGTTGTTGAAGATTTTTTGAGCCAGTGTAGAATACTTCCCGTAGAGAACTTTGTAATTTTTTGCCAGTGACATCTGGTGGAATCGTCTACTCATCTTTACTAATCCTTTAAAACAGCTTGCAACTATAATACAAGCAACAACCGAATTTGTGTTTGCTATAAGAACATCAATTAAGTCTGGGTTACAAGATAAAATGGCGAATATTATAAGATCCCAAATATGATTATCTCTCTTTCTATCCTTCTCTTTTAGCGGTATGTATAACATTAGAGTATACTCTCCGCACAACTTGTGTAGAATGAGTGATAATTTCTCTTTTATAGTTAAATTATCCCTTCTCGCTTTCACAATAATTTCTTTATATATAATACTTGTTAGTACTGTTTGTATGTCAGTGGCAAACTTTGATGAATTTTCCCTTTTGTTATCAAGTAAAAACTGGAATAAGATTTTTAAATCTTCTAGTGTTATTGATAAGAAATTTGTTGGAGAAACTTTTATCGGCGGTTCAAAATAATCAGTTTCTTGAATGCACGTTGAAAAGATAGTAGATAGATGGGAAGATTGAAAGAAAATATTACTTTTGAATGCATTTGCTAATTGTCTCTCATCGTCGGAAGGTAACAGAGTTTTACTTCTTTGCAGGATATTCTCATCAAGTGTACATACAAATCCCGTTTTGAATACATCTTTAAAGAACTTGTAACTTTCTTCAGTATTCAATTCAAATTTTGAGAATGTATCCTGATTCTTGATTGAATTCTCGTATAGATTAAACGATTGGCTAGAATTTAAACATTCAAGCGATTCTATCCACTCTTTATTCTCATCACTATTACGTCCTTGAAAAAATATTGTACTGCAAATGTTTAATTGTTGATTAAGGTTTGAATTTTGCGGTTTCAAGTTAAAAGTTTCGTATAGTTCAGTATCATCATTTTCCTTAATTAAATACAAATTACGGAAAATATCATCATCGGCTATTAAATTCTTGTAATTAAGTATCAAATGTTGAAATTTTTCCATTAATTTATCATCATATCTCTTTGGCAACCAATTAAAAGTTATGATATAATCCGCAAGTTCTAATACATTTATCCATTTGCTTTATCAATTAAAGTAGATTTTTAAAAAACCTTTATAATCCTTTACTTATTGTTCTTTTATGGAGTTGATGGAAAAGGTCAAAAAGCTGGGTTAGGGTTAGGGTAAAAAAACATAGATTTGTGAACATTTTCCATGAAATCCATTTTTTATTTGTTAAATTAAAAATAAGCTAGATTTTCTCATTGTTTTAAATATCTACTTTAAATCGTCTTTGCCAGCTTCGTTAAAAATTAGGCCAAGATGAGAGAGAATAAGTAAAAAATCATTTAATCCTTCTTCCGAATTAATATTTGGAATAAAATTCTGATATGCACAGATTATTAATGAATTTCTTTCAAGTTCATTAAAATTTATAATATTCGATAGATTAAGTACTAAATCATCCGTAGAATCTGATTCTAGGTTATAAACGTCCTTCTCCTTTACATTTATTATTACTAGTTGCAAATTATTATCGACTTCTTCACCTAAATTACAGGCTTCTGAAAGAAAATTATCCGATGAAATATCCAAATTATTGGTTAACCTTTGACATATTGCTTCTTTAATAGGACTTTGAAACATAACTCTCTCTCAAATTGAGCACAAATATAGCATATGTGTAGGGAAGATTTCCTTTTGTATATTTGTATTGTTTATATTTCACTATGGCTTCAATCATGGCGGTAGACTTGGCTGATCAATGATGAAAACTTGAAAAATTTCTTCTTCTAAACTTGAAAAGGGAATAAATGACAATTACATTATTCAGCGAATGTATAAACTTTTTATCTATTGATTTATTAACGCAAACAACTATGCATATTCAAGTTAATCAAGTAAAGAATAGTATAAAGTGTAGCGAAACACAATTATTTATTAAACCCAACAATAATCCTCCTTAAACCCTTCTTTTGTTTGCATAGTATTATATATTTGTAGATTCCCTTCATTATTATAGTTAAGCGTAGATTCGATATACGTCAGATTAAGATAACGAAGACACGGCCTTTCTTCATTAATTTTACTTATCAAACACATGTCGATATCACAATAATCCAAACCAAGATATTCAAGATCTGAGCAATGTTTTACAACATTTTCTAAAATTTTTCTTCCTTCTGAACGATTGATGTTATTTGATTTTATTGAGAATGATTTCAATTTTTTTGAGTATTCCAAAAACTGGACGATATCAATTACTAACTCATTTGTTAGCTTACTATTATCCATAGATAATGTAGTTAGATTAGTGCTTTTTCTTAAAAATTTAAGGAGTTGCGAAGCTGAATCATTATTTATATTGTTCTTATTTATGTTAAGATATTTTAAGTTGCTTAAGGCTCTTTCAATGTGTTCTCCAGAAATTTGTGTAAGCCCTACTTCTATCAATTCTAATTTAGTTAGTGAATTTATCTGAAGCATTTTTTGTACCGTTACGTTGCTCAGCTCGTTGTTACCAATAGATAAAAGTTTAAGTTTCTTTAGCCTTTGAAGTTTTTCTACTAAACTCTTAGCAACACTGTCCCGTAGTTTGTTTTCGTAGAGGAACAACTCTTTCAACGATAAGCATTTCTTCGTAATAGTTTCAAAAATTGAGAGCCATTCTTCATCTTTTATCTTTCCATTTTCACTGAACGAAAGCATTGTCAAGTTTGAAAGTTTTTCAAAATTAGAACAGAATTCTTTAATGTTCAAAATTTCACTTTTTTGTTTTATTTGTCTCAAAATTAACTTTTCGATAGATTTTGATTTAAAATCAAGATTTTTCAGATCATTTTTGGCTGTATCGATCATTTTTAATTGTTCATTCTTCCTTACAACTTCCCAAAATGCATTTTCACATTCACGAGATTTTAACATTGCTCTAAAACCGATAACGTTTAATGAATGAGTATATTTGTTTAACGATTGTAAAATTGATAAACATTGTTCTTTATTCATAAGACTTGTCCCAATGTCAAAAGAATGTAGAAATATATTATTCTCAAATATTGAATTCCATATGTTTGTTTCTATATCCTTCTGGAAGAAACAATTCCTAAAGATTATCTGTCTAAGTCTTAACTTTCGACTGAGGGCAGTTAGAATATTTGTGTCAACAACAACTGAAGATAATCGTATACATTGCAATTTACTACTTTGTTCGATAACATTAGAAATGTACTCTATGCTGGATTGTTTATCCTTTTTTTCAAGTATACATAAATCTTGTAATGAAGAGTAAGATTTATCCTTCCATACTTCAAATATTCCATCCATGAATATTTTAGGAATATCCGTTTCTATTAATCTAAAAGTTGTTAACTTTCCCATATTTTCAATCAGCTTTACAAGGAAAGAGATCTTATAATTGTACATTTTAAATCGTACTTTTGATAGTTCCAGTTTACATGAACTTGTATGAAATTTTAACTTGCAAAGACTATCTGCTGTTTTCATATCAATAACTATATTATTAATATACAATTGATCAAAAGTAATTGATAGATCTGCCAGAAACTCAATATAACTGGCACGATATCTAAACGACGACGTTTGGTTAGAGAGATATAAAACTCTGCTCTTTATCTCATTTTCTATTAAAGCTTCTACTCTCTTTAGTGTGGATTTATTAAAAGAAATTTCGTTTATCGACTCGGATAAGATAATATCTTTAAATTCGGATTTTGATGAATGTTTCCCATCATCCGGAGAATTTAAAACTTTAAGATGAGACAGATTTGTTAAACAATCGAGCAACACCAAAAATATTGATCTAGTTATTCCAGTATCGAAGATAAACAACTCTTTCAAACAGTTTACATGCTGTAATTCAGACAAAAATTTCGTCATAGATTCGTTATCGAAGTTATTAATAGCTATATCCAATTTCTTCAAATTTTTCATTTTTCCTATCATCTCTGTAAATTTGTATAGAAATGATTTTTCCAATTTACAAGATCTGATATTGATCTTTTGCAAAGAGTAATTACGAAACTCTATTAATTTCAACAGATCATTACCCTCAATTAAGTTATTAGAAAGGTTAATATCTAATAAAGATGTTAAATTGAATGTACTTAACACCATACTATATATAACCAGATTACAATGACTTATATCGAGGCTTTTAATATTATTGCAGCTGCGGAGTTCAGTCAGGATATAACCTATATCTTCAAGTTTCAAATTTGCATTTAAACTGAGATTAATCACTTCAGGATCTAACTTCGAAAGAAAAGTCATTCTTTCCACTTTCTCTGTTCTAAGTTCCGTATTAGAAAAATTTAAATTTTTCACAATTGTCCAATCAACGTTACATTTATTAAGCTTATCAAGTTTTACAACTGATAAGACCCGGTTTTTTATATTAAATAATCTATTACCATTCGTATTTTCAAAATCAAGTAAATAATCGTCAAACTTATGAAAGTCAAGAAGAATATCCAAATTGTTATCATTTTTCTTCTTTTCCCATATTATCTGTCTAACATCTTCTGAAATATTGTTATTTGTTATATCAAGATGCTTTGGGCAAAATTTTAAAAAGTCTTTTAAAGTAGGTCTGCTAATATTCGTGAATTGACAATTCTGTAAAACTAGTTGTTGCAGTTGTGCCTTTGATATTGGAATTTTCTTCAACAATAAATGTAATCCACCATCTTTTATAGGATTATTGGATAGATCTAAAGATTCTAAGCTTGTTAGAATATGAGTTTTTAGTAAGGGTTCTATGGAATTTATGTCGATTGAACAACTCTGAAGTATTAATCGGAAGCTACACGGCGTTGGGAGCTGAGCTAGTTGGTATGATAGATTCTTCATATCCTCAACTAAATGAAAATTAAAATATATATTACCTTAACTATTTAAAAGTATGATACAAACCGTCAAGTTTATTTTTGGATAGGTTTAGTTCTTTTAACTTCAGCTTCAAGAGAGCATTTGAGAAAAAGTCGGCACTTTTTAAGTTTATGAAGCATTTCACCAATGATAAACTTTTTAAATTAGTATTTTTTAAATCATTCCCAAAATTTCCATCAATTTTCATATTTTCCATGTAAAATGTATGCAGATTGTTGAAACTATTGATAACCAAAATGATATCTTTTGCAAAAACTTGTCCTGATGAAATTTTCAATAAGGATAAATCTTGAAAATCATTATTTCTGTTTATTTTGGCCAAATCTCCTAGCGAGAAATCAACTGAATGAAAAATGATTTCTCTTACTTTTTTCAGAATTTTTAAAATGATTTCTAGTTCTAGGCTATCTAATTTTTTGTATGAATAAATAAACTGATGACCTTCACCTTCTGGAATATCTTCTGCAGTTATATTTTCTGAAGTTTGAAAGATTTCTAAATTTTGTAAGCATATTTTGATGTACATTTCACTATCCATATATTTCAGAAACTGAAATATTGTTTTCCTTCTCCTCATCCATCTTTCCCAGTCAGGATGATTACTGTTTTGTTCGTCTGGTAACCTTTTATAAATAGCATAGTATCTAACAAAATGTTTTGCTATAAAGTATTCAAGAAATCCCGATCTTAACAATAAATCTTTTGTTGATCCGCCCTTTTCACAAATGGTTTTTGAGTAATCGCTATAGTAATTTTTTACTTTCGTTTTCCAAATTGTGTTGAATGCTATTTCTTCGAGTTCAGTAGAAAATTTATTGTAGGCATTAGTTTCAAACTTACGCTTTACTTCATCCTCAGCTGCTGAATATATTTGAAAGACATTGTCTATATCATTCAAACTTGTATAATTTGAAATTGCACCCTTTAGGGTATAATTAGCCAGAGTGCCAATAGAAGCTTTATTTTCTTTATTCTTTATATGTAAATAGCTCGTTTTCAGAGTCATATCACTTGCTTGACTTGTTTTATCTCTGATACTTAATTCGGTAATACCATATGTCACATTTTTTTCAATAGGTTTCATGCCAGTTATCGTAAATAATGAATAACTTTTAGGTTTTATGATATTCCAGTCTGGGGTGGAGGCAATTAGGAAATAAGGTCGATTGTGCAGGGAGAATATCTTTTCGAGATTTTCATCTGCATGAAAACCGTAATCATCTGCAAAAAGTATTACTTTCCCCTCTTCCGTAGGCTTAGTTAGAAGGCTCTGTATATCATTTATTGTCACGTCTCTATCATTATCAAAATTTTGTTTCAATATGGAAACTTCGATTGGCTCGTTTGTAGATATTTTCTTACAGTCTAGCCAAAGAGTAATAACTTTTTGATGTTTCTGGGATTCATAGAAATTGCTTATCTCTTTTAGCACATAAGTTTTCCCCGAGCCTAAAGTCCCAGTCACGACAATTACTTTATCTAGACTTTTATTCCATTTGTCGGAAACCATGTCATTGCCGGAGCTAAAGTTTATTTTCTTCTTTTCGTCTTCACTATATAACTCTAAAACAATATCACTTTTATCAGTATACTTTTTTTTAATAGTCCTGTCTTTAATTTCACAGACTCTTGAGAAGATTTCTATCATTATTCGTCTTTTATGTTGGTCTCTTTCGAAAAGTGAATGATTAACAATACGAAAAAATATTAATACGCACTTACATTTCCCATTCCGTCTTCGAAAGTTGAACAGTAAGCACTCTATATTAGAATGGACCCTGACGAAATTACAAAGTCAGTGATTAAGAGTCACAAAGAATATCTTGAAAAGATAAAAGATATTAACAAATTGGCTACTATTCCGATGGTATTAATAGAAAATCAGAAGGAAGACAGCGAACTACTTTTATTTTCCTGCCAGCAATATTTTACGAAATACTTGGAAGGCAAAAAGAGAATACTAATAAAGGGTTCGTTCTTTTCAGGAAAATCTTTTCTTTACAGAAAATTTCTTTATTTCTGGAGCAAATTGTCAACTCTTTATGACGAATTTCTTTTATTAAAACTATCAATTCGTGACTTAAATGATTCAAGTACGCTTATTCAATCAATTATTGAACAAAATTCTCCTATTCAATCAAAAGAATTGGAATTAATCCTAAACAATAAATCCAGGGATTTTAAAAGGCCAATATTTTTGTTAGTGTATTGCGCAGAAGATTCAAACTTTTCACAAGATAATGACATAGAAAAATTACTTAGAGGGACAGAAAGACCAAGTATTTTTAAAAAAGTAATTGTCCTTTCAGATTTGTGGAAGGCAGATTTAATAGAAAATTCTTATGAGCTTATTCATGAAATAGATAAACTTTCCGAATATCACTTACATAGATTTCTGCAAGATGTTCTTCCGTACAAACCAATGAAGAGCATGATTTACGCAACTAGTAATATAGATTTGAGAAATTCTATCTTATGTCTAATAGATTCAATAAGAGATGAGAAACCATTAATATTTAAAAGAGCCGGAGAGGTGGAATTTAGTTTTTGCCTGTCAAAGTTATGTACCCAAAGTCTATTTGAAAAAGCGAATACTCCTGAAGATGTCATTAAACTGCTTTTAGATAGTGTAGTGCGAGCGGAGTCTTCTGTGTCTGAGTGGTATTTCCTAGCATATAGAAGTATTACAGAATGCAATTATACGCATTTCCATCGAGTAGCTACAGATTCTGATTGCGATAGCGACTGTAAGGAACTCCTTAATCTAGCTGGGTTTAGAGAAGCTTTGTGTGCACAGTATATTGTTAATAATTTCGACGATTTTGAGAAAATTTATAATTCCAAGAAGGATAATGAAACTTGGTATAAAAAAATCTATCATGTTTTACCATTCGTTCGTAATCTCGATTTTAAGATTTATTGGAGAATATGCATTGATAACAAACCTCTATTGGGTAAAAAGTTTGAAAATTTACCCAATCAACTTATAGATTTTATCCAAAGCCCTCAAAGTGCTTTATACATAAAAAATCAAAGTCTGGAATTTTCTCACCTAAAAATGGCGTTTTTAATTGGAAATTCCTTGGAAGAGATCAATCTTCATCAGGTCGATATTGATTTCAAACAATTTGCCAGTTATAAGCTTGAAAGTTTACAAGCAGCTTTGAAGAAATTTAGCCTATATAGCGGTCGAGATTTAACTATCAGTGATAAAGACATAAGGAAGTTTCTGTTAAATTTCAATGAGATTACCCATTTATCATTGGAAAGCTTATTTATCGAGCATTCTTCTGATATATCAAACAGCATAATGAACAAAACGCTGAATTTGAAATGCCTACATTTGAATAACTGTCATATGGAGGAAGAGGAATGGAAATGTATATCAAAATTTCTAACAGTATCTCCATTCCTTGAAGAGTTAGATTTTTCAAACAATATCATTAGAGGTAAGTTCAAGACTACAATGTAAAATACTTTTAAAACATTCATTTGTATTTTTAAACAGGAGAAGCATTTGAAAAGATCCTCCAAAGTTTAAAAGAATCGAAAAATGTCAATAACAGTTGCAAATTGAAAAAACTTCTATTAAGCAATTGTTCTGTAAATTATATCATTTGCAATCTTTTGACAAATTCCCTTGATTTTCTATCAGATTTGGTTGAATTAGATATGAGTTATAACCCTGGAATTGAAAATAGTAATGCCTATGTTATGATATCCAAGTTATTGTCTTGTCCAAATTTGACAAATGTCGATTTTAGTAATTGCAATTTAAAGCCGAATAAAGTGAATTTTACAATGTTGACAAATCCTAATTTAAAGTTGAAACTTGATGGATTAGTATATTGCAGATATATGGCTTTCTCCTTGAATAATCAACATGATTTCAATAGTATCATCTGGAATCGACAACTGGAATATAACGGATTCGAATATCTGGAAACCCTTTACATAAATGAAGCAAAATTCACCAATGATGCAATCAGCATTGTAAGAGATGCATTTTCTCACAATAAAATAAAGAATTTAATTGTTACCGATCTTACGAGCTGTCTCTCTCAGAACATATTCGACTATGTCTCCGAAGACAATGATTTAGAACTTTTCGACTTAAGTGGCAATATTCTTTCGACAGAAGCTGTTCATGCAATATGGAATACACTCGAAAGGCCACATTCTGTAAAGAAATTATTCTTTGCTGATTGTTCCCTACCATTTACGTTTTTTAGAGATAGTGAGGGCGATATTAGATTTCCTGATGGGGTGGAAGAACTGAAATTATCTGGCAATAGAATAAATAGTACAGATGTTGCTAACATAATTCTTAGAAGGCGCTTGAAAAAAATCTGGTTAAGTAGATGCTCCTTAAATGTTTCTTTCTGTGAAAAAATCTTAAATGGTCACAATGCTGTAAAGGGTCTAGCATCTATCGATATATCCTACAATTATCTAGGTAACGATGTAATCAAACAGCTTCTTACGAGCCTTCACGAATCAGAAAATCTTGATGAGCTATACATTTACAAAACGGGCATAACGAAAAGTATTCTATTACACCTCTTTCAATTCATTGACAAAAATAGAGGTTTAAGAATTTTAAACTCTCCTTGTTTTGATCAAGTTGCACAATTTTCGAAATCCGAACCGCAAATTAAATTTGTAAAATTCATGGATGATGTAGATTCAATCAACTGCAATTTAATAATGGTTAAAACGTTGCAAAGTGTCCTTAAACAAGTCATAGAAACAAAAGTTTTAAAGATATCAGAAAAGCTTACACCTATCGATTTTCTGAAGGAATATTTAGATCTTATCATATCTTTGGAATTATCAATTACAGTGTTAGACATACAATATATTAAATATGAGAAAGAGGTTTTTGAGAAACTTCTTAATTTGAAATTTACAGATAAAAGACCAACAAGTCTTATAGTATCAAGATTAAGATGTAAGAGAAATGAATATCCTATTGAATTTTTTACGACTCGCTTTCTTCCGAAAATGGCAAAAGTCTGGCAGATACATTTCCATGATTTAAAAACTCCAAATTATAGCTGGTATATGAATTTGAGTGCTGTTAAAAGCCTTAGACAGCTATCAGTTATTTATCCCTATACTCAGTCAGATGGACTTTCATTTTTGGCTAAGCCTTTAATAATCCAGAATCGTTATATTAACCACCTCAATCTCGCTGGAAATGTGATATCCAATGTAACCTTAGAAGCCCTTAAAACATGTACTCATTTACGGAGTTTAAATTTCTGGAAATGTAAATTTCAGGAACATGAACCTGAAATATGGAAGACTATTATAGAACAAAATGCCACTACTTTGATATCCCTTGATTTAGGGCTAAGTAATATTCAGAACTCAAGTCTAGAGGAAATTATAGGGGCTTTTACGGAGCTAGAAGAATTTCCTCTAAAACAGCTGGGACTAAGAGCTTGTGAATTAACTTCTAATATACTGGAAAAATTGAGCAAAGTTCTTGAAAAATGTAAGGTTATGAAACTTCTAGATCTTTCTGCTAATAAACTTACTGATACATTCCTAATTGATATAGGCAGAAAATCATTTCAATCCTTTCAGTGGTTTCTTAAAAATACTAAACCCGATTCCGAAGCTCTTAAATATGCTTTAAACCATTCAGAAAATATACAGGTTCTATCTCTAAGCGAGAATAAAAATTTCGATAACAAATGCTTAAAAGTTTTAGAGACTTGGGTAAAGAATTCTAATTTGAAGGAACTGTTTGTTCATGACTGCCGACTTACTGCATCTTGCGGTTTGTCTTTTGCTAAGATAATAAGAAAGCACGCAAATTTAAACTTATTATCAGCTTCAGGAAACAATATTGGAGATAACGATTGCAGAAAAATACTGAAAGGGCTGAAATCATCGAAAATCACTATTTTGGATCTTGACAGAGTAGGCATGACAGAAGCTATTGGGACACAATTGCGAGATTCAGTAGGCTCGTTAAAAAACTTAACATACTTAAGTTTAAATGATAATCCACTTGGTGATGACTGCGGTATGCACTTATTGATTAGTCTTATCGGATGTTCAAATTTGAAATTCTTGTACTTAAATAATTGTGGATTTACGTCAAAGATTGAAAAGACATTTTTGAAATTACTGAAACTTTTGACAAAATTATCATCTCTGTCCTTAAATGGTAATAATTTCGAGGAAAAGTCATACATTGAATATTTATCGTTGATAAATTGCACTTGCACTAAAGTATCGGCACTAAGTTTTGAAGAATGCAAATTAACTAAAAATATGAATCAAGTATTTCGTCAAAGTTTCATGAAATTAACTGATCTTGAATATCTGAGCTTGAAAGATAATCCAGACCTTGATGAGGGTCTTTTCGAGATAATTTATGTGAATTTTAACTATTTGAGAGTAAGGATGGATGATTCTAACATTGAAAATAGCTTTCAAAACGTACTATACTCTTATAATAAGGACGTTGGACCAATATCAACTATTGTTATAAATCCAGGTCCAATAAGAGGCTAAATTCAATTTTCTTTGTCACTAAGCGGCTTGTCTGTTATGTTAGAAAGTTCACTTGTCTGAGAGATTGAATAATTGCAGTATTCCAGAAAATTATATATGATTATTTCAACTATTACATTAATAAACACAATGAAAAATACACAGAATTCGCTTTATTTATCCAATACATTATAATAAATGAAGTTTATTCATAACTGTATAGAATGTTAGTTTACAAAGCCTAGTTTATTAAATAACATTAAAGGTGTTTGAGAACCTGATCGCGATCAGTAGGTGTTGTTGTGGTGGTCAGACATATATATATATATATATACATAAGTATCAAGTCTCATGTGTCATACGACGAGACATAATCTCGTAGTTACGTAATCACGTGTATCCACACGTGATAATTATTAGCTTTGGTCATTAGAATACAGCAACCGTTTGATACGGTTACCGACAGTAAATATACATAGTTCGTAATCGTAGAAGAACCGATCTTCAACAAAAGGAACTAAACTATGGAGAAAGGGACAAAACTATTTATCTCGTTAGTGAAACATGGGATATTCTAGTCTGCAATTTTTATATACATTTCTCAATTTTTTGGCTTGTTCCATTTGTGCCATTACTTCCTGTCTAACGTCAGAAGTTTCGTTTTCTTCAATTTTCAAGTATAATAGGATAATTTTCTTCCTATCCATACATTTCTTTATGTCGTGCCACATCTTTATAGGTATATTAACTAAATCTTCATTACGTAACAAACTTATACTTATTAGTCTCCTTGTATAGATTGCTATTTTTACTAGGTCTGAACATATTGAATTGTGCAAATTGCAATCATCCATTTCAATATATTCAATATTTTGACAACAGATTTTTAGTTTAGAGAGGATTTCTTTTCCAGACTTTCCTATTTGATTACCACTGAATATGAATTGTTGGAGCTTTTGGAGATTTTCAAGTCCTTTTAAAATGTGACGCTCTATCTCATTAGTAAAGCCACATTCCCTTAAACTTAGTTTTTTTAGATTATTTAAGCGTTTTTCTATTGAAAGAAAGAGCTTCTTGCCAACACTGTTGCCCAATTTATTGTTATCGATTTCTAATATAGTAAAATTTGTATGACAACTCAACGTGTTCCCCAACAAATTTATATCATTCGTGACCAATCCTATCTTCTCTATGTTCAACTCTAAAAAGCTATTGTTCTTTCTTTTTGCAATGGCCCTTAAAATTCTTTCTGAACCTAAACAACCAAATTTATTTTCTCCAATACGAAGTATTTTTAAATTGGTCATTTTTTCAATAATATCGCTTAGGCTCTCAACAGCTTCGCAGTTCATGTTACAATTCTTTATACATAGGGCATACAGTTTGGGACAATTCTCATTCAAAGTTCTTAGAATTTCCACTCCGGTACGTGTTCCAATGTCGTTGGAACTGATGGAAAACGTATGCAATTTGTGTTGATTTTCTAAGACTTGTTGACAAAAGACACTTGATAGATTATAGTCAAAATCATTACCCTTTAAGAGTAGCTTTCTTAAAGTTTTTGTCTCATTACGAACTAATTCAGAAGCTATTTCATAAAGAGTTTGATTACCAATATTACATTTAGCCAAATCCAGAACTTTTAGTTCTGAATGATTAGATATAAAATTAACAAAATTACTACATTCGTTAATGTGTAGTTCTCCGAAGCCTATCTGCTCTAAATTGTTAAATTTACAATTTTTGAAGATTCGAAAAAGTGTTTCGTGTTTTAAGTCTGATTTTCCAAAGTCAATAAGATTTAAATTCGGATTATTATTTAGAACATCTTCCAAGAGTGATTCCGAATTATCTTTAAACGTACTCATAAAGAATGAGAGTATTACCAAATTACTACATCGTTTCATACTTTGAATTATTTGCATCGAGATGGAAATATTAGTGAGAATTAAGCTTGTCAAATTGATATTCTGAGCAATTAAAGTCGGGAACGTTATAAAGAATGTTCCAGATTTCATATGATCAATAGAAAGTTGCTTTATAGAACCATAATAAAATTCCTGATCTTCATAATTTTCCATTGGTTGTTCTTCACAATGTTCTATTGGCTGTTGAACACTCGATAGATCAACTTTAACTGCTTTTTTAAAGTATTTATTAAAAAAGCCAGCAGCATTACTATCCTCAAAAGACGTATTCGATAGTTTCAGAGTTAGAGGGAAATCTTCCGAGTACTTTATCTGTCTTAACAGATTCATACATTCTGTATTGATGGGCATATCAAGAATGAAAAGAGAGCAAATTTCCATATTATTCTCTTTGATAGTTTCTAAAAAGTGGGGTAAAAATCTGGAGCAAACACTTTTCTTCCGTAAACCCAAGAATTTATTATTGATAACTAGTTCAAGTAAATTATAAATACTATTGAATTTATATAAACTAAATATCTCTTCATCAATTTCTTTAATATGTTGAATAAATTCAAATTTTTTAAAACTCTCTTGATAACACATATTATCCCTACCATTCGTTGAGTTCAATTTACGAAGATATTTGAGATTATGAATGCATTTAGCAAGAGGAATAAAGTGTTTTTTTCTTAAACCAGTCTGGAAAATGTACAATTCTTCGAGTTTTGTACCATATTGCGGAAATATGTTTGTTAAAATATTAGAAATTTGTTCACTTGTCAATGTATTTCTCGATATATTCAATACTTTTAAGCCATTGAAATGAGTTAACAAATTCTTTATTTCCTCCAAAGTAATACAATTCGTAAAACAATTAGATATATCCAATTGTTCAATTGCCTCATTCGTTCCGATTAGTGAGAAGAAACTTTCGTTATCAATTGAAATATTTGAAAATTCAATGACTCTTAGAAGATTTATCAGATTTAGATTTGGAGTCATGTCATGATGTTTTATCCTTAAAGAGTTATTGAAATATAGTTTTTTAATATTTGAAGGATTTAAATCTTCTATATTCAATGGGTTATAGCTTATATCCAAAGTTTCCAGTTGACTTAATCTCCTTAAAATACTTTCAATAGAATTTAAGTTACAATTCGCCAGAATTAGACTTTTTAAATTTGTAAATCTCTCTAAAAAGTTAGAACCATCATCCCCACTAAAATCAATTCCAGAAAAATCAGCCGATTTAAGCGAATGAGAACCTAAACCTTTATTTTGAGTAAATATTACTTTAATTTCAACCATTTCAAAACCACAATTACCAATACTAAGATTTGATAATTTTATCAAATTTGATAACTGATCACAAATCTCTAGTCTATTTGATTTGTCAAGTAGCTCATTATTCGATATATCTATCAATGTTAACTCTTTGCAAATCTTATGTGAGAAATCAAACTTCAGAAAACTAATCGAACAGTTCTGCAGCTTCAGTTCACTTAGATTACAATCACTAATCGAATTTAGCATCATTCTCGCTCCATCATCTCCAATCTTATTGTTTGAAATATCCAAATAGTGCAGATCTGGTAGAAAGAATAAAAGCCTGGCTAAGAGAGGCACATCTTCATTTATGATACTGCAAGTAGACAAATTTATATCATTAATGGCAAATTCAGAGAAACATAGCGTTTTCTTTAGTGACTCCAATACTTGCTTGATTCCGTAACCTATTAGTTATAGAAGATAATTTAAATAGCAAATACATTTTCTATAGCCTTTAATCACTTACCTCTAAGGTTATTATGCGCCAAACTTAGCTTCTTTATAGGTGTGGAACTTTCCACAATACGGCTAATCTCTAAAATTTCGTTATAACCCAACTTACAGTTTGTAAAGGAAATCGTTTTCAATTTCAAAGTGATTTTTTCAACAGATGATTCAAGTTTAATCGGTATATCACCAATCACCAAAGTATTTAATTTACAATTTTTAACTGCTGCTAATAGTTCATTCAACAATGTTGATTCACTCTGGCCTCCACGTATTTTCAATACTTTTAAATTTGGAAGAGATTTTACTTTCGAAAGTAATTCCTTCATTGAGAAATTAACATTTTCAAATTCAATTTTAGTGATAATATCTTCTTTTGATAATGAAACATGAAGAGCGAAATTCGATAGAGAATAATTTTTCAGACTACGCTCTTCGATATTTAACGGTATTTTATCTGGGATATTTTCATCTACATAGTCAAGATATTTTGGTTCTCTAAGACACATGTTAATTAATCTTTCTTCATCCTTCTTCTGTATAAAGTTTAAGACACTTTTTATTCGATTTGCCTTTACCTGGGTTCTTAACAAGTCATTTGTTCTAGCATCTTTAGCTTGACGTAGGCAATAGTTTGCGGCAAAATATTCTTCAAACTTTGCATGACAGAATCCCCATGTAACGCTTTCACTATTTTCAAATATTTTATCCATAAGATGGGGAAATTTATTTTCCGTTGGACTTGTTACATACATCTTATTATTGAATATACTACAATATGCAATCTCTTGCAATTGTCTCTCAGATATATCAGTAATAATATGATCGTCTTTTAAAAGTTTAACAATTTCATAAAAGAGATCATACTCTATTTCAATCTGACTAATATCTCTATTATTCTGATAAAGAATTACGAAAAGCTGCGCTATTAAAGGTGTTAAATAGGCGATATTACGAAATTCTCTACTCCTAGTTACTTCCATAAATAATTTCATGCCAGCGCTCTCATTCAAGATCATGCATCTAAGTTGGTTTGGTTTTTTTTGCTCATGTTTAAGAAATTTATTAAAATATTCTTCCAAGTGGGACCAATGAAAGCCGATAATTTCATATATTGAAGGGCAATTTTCTCCCGCTTCTTCTCTGGACCATACCACCAACTTATTTTCAGCGTATTGATTCGTAACCAATGGTTTAATCGTGCTGTTATGTAATAGTATATTTTCTTCTGAATCATCGACGAATAGAATAATCTTTCTTCTACCTTCGTTATTTAAAAGTTTCGCCAGATCACTGCTTTGTACTCTAGAATCTTGGTAAAAGTTTTGTTCTATTATACAAGCTTCTATTTGATCTGTTTGTCTCCTGACCTTTTTCACAACCAATTTTAAAGGTAAAAAATCTTTTGAAAGATTCTCATCACAACACCAATAATTTAATAACTTGTCCAAATGAAAACTTTTTCCAACTCCTCCTCTACCAATAATACGACATGTTTGAAATTCAGCCTCTCGAAAACGTTCCCAAAAATATCTTCCATCATTACAGACATGTTCTGTATTTTCACCTTTTTCTCTAATGACTACAGGAGTGCTTAACTCTTTTAGCGAACAGCGTTTACTTTCCTTGACGTAGGATAACTTTCTCAGACTTTTTAATCGGTCTAAATGAAATTGTTTATACTCTTCGACTACTTCGTCCTCGTTCATAATCGTTCCTTGTATTAGCAGCGAATGAACAAGGCACGATTTCTTCTCTATATTTAGAGAAGTGCAGCTCCTTGGTTTCGTTTTATATGGTTAATAAAGAGTATAATGGAAATGAATAATAAATAACAAGGTCAAATTTTTACCTATCTATAGAATCAAAACTTTTGAACGAATAACCGTTAACTTGAACAAAACGGAAGAAAAATTCTATAATAATCTATACTGTAATGAATACAGTTCATTATAAAGAGTTTTGCTGTTTATTCATTTAACCACACTGGTAAGATTTCGCATTTAAAATGGCAGCATACAGTCACTGCTGGCGGGTGTAACATGTGTGGAAAAAAAAAGACCCCGATAGATGGCGCAATTTTCTAAATAAAATAAATATATTATCTATTCATTTATTCATTCATTCATTCATTTGTCCAGTCCAATAAAATATGAGAAACGATAGTCGTCATCATTGTTAGTTTAATTTCGATATACAGATAATTAAACAAGGGTAATCTTATAGAAATGTATAAGACTTTGAAATTCCTTATCTGTATATTACTTATAGTCCGTTCAATAAGAGGTATATTACTAATGAATATAGTAAAGTATTATCAAATTTTGTAATAATCTAACAGATGTCAAAAAGTTAAGGGAAACGGAAAGGAACGATCAAAGGCATTTTGAATTCTTAATCGACGGTAAAGTATACTTGTAATCATTTTCAGAAACGATAATAAAGTCTATATATGTTCAAGCTATTGAAAAGAAATGCGAAGAATTTCGAAATCTCTTCCAATTTTCATGCTCAATTCTTCCAATCGATGCAGAAAGTAGAAGGAAAAAATGCTTCACATTTGAACTAAGTATATTCAATTCAATATGAATTTTTTTTATTAATATTTCAATACAAATTCAAAACAGAAATTAAATTCAAAAAGTCACTTCGAAGAAATTTTTGGTTCTATTTACAAAATATTAAAAAGTTGAAATCATATAGGAATTTTTCAACAATTCAAACAATTCAAAAAAGGCATCAGTATTGTTTAGAAGAGTTATATAAACTTGTTGGTGTAAATCAAGATGTAACTGAGAAAGGAAGAAAGTATTTTCTATTCATTAAAGTAATATTATTGATATTATTCTCGTTCTATTAAGAATTTTAATTGAAAAGACAAATATTCAAGTAATTGAATAAGTTCTTGTCATTTGGAATAGTCTTCTATTGCTTTATTCTTTAACGAAATAAATAATTGAACTAAGCATTGAATAATCAGTTGTAAGATTGTTTATTTATAAAATATTAACGAATTATATAAGCCTTCAACTAATTAATACTCTGGAGATTTGTTGATTTATAACTATTTTTGAATCATCGATAAGTCTTCCCTCAGGGAGAGTGTAGAGTCTATTCCGGAAGTACACGTGAATAGGATAAATAGGTACAATTATCGCCTCTCTTTTATACTCGAATAAAATGTTACAAAATTTGTTCAAATAGGCTTAATTTTGGAAAAAAGAATCTATTCATCCATATGAAAAATGATTGAATACCTTGTTTGTTTGAATATGAAATAAATTGCCTCAGGGTAAATGGTGATTCGTACATTTTTCAGCTTCAACTCCACTTGATCTCTTTGTCATTTACACTTCCAGCGTCGAATTGATATGATGTTCGCAAAAGGGATTATCTATCTTTTAATTCTTATTCAAGTTGATTCTAGCAAAGGTAAATAGAATAGTAGTATTTGAATAATATAAATTGTCTTAAAGGTTTAGAATGCTGGGAATGTACGGAATGTAATGATCCTATGAAAGTGGTGAAAATTTCTTGCCCAAATGATAATTATAGATGTATAACGCAGATAAACGGTTCGGTTAAGATTAACTATTAAGACAAAAGTAACGCCAATTTATATATATTATCTTTTCATATAGATAATATTACCGAAAAGTATTGCCAATTGAAAAACATGAATGGTAATATCTTTGAGAATAATTGCATTATTAGAGGGAATAAGATATCTTGTACCTGTTCAAGTGATTATTGTAATGAAGAGGATCTGTCTAATGAACTTATACCCAGAAAAAACAGTTGATATTCTTAATTAATTAATATTTATAAAGATTCTTCTTATTCTTAACTTATTACAAGTTCGATTTTTTATTAGAAGTTACTTGCTGGAAATGTAATTCTATAGAGAATAAATGGTGTGGAACTGTAGTAAGTCTACCAGAAGGCGATTCAAATGAATTTAAATGCGAAGTCGAGATTAATTACGGCTCTTGCACTCTTCAGAGCGCTCAATATGGTTTGTACTACAAACGCTTGTCTTAAACGTGTCTTAATATATTTTATACATTACCTACAGGCTTAGTTTACCGAAGGGATTGTAGTAAACTTGGACGTTTAAAATATTCGGCTTGTAAAAGCTTTGACGAAGATGAATTTTGCTATTGTTCAGACAATTATTGTAACCGGAATAATACTTTTGACAGAGTATTTACGGTATTTCAACTGTAATTAGAAAATCATATTTCCATTGTACGGAAGTTTGCCTATTACGTTAGCGTAATTTTATGTATTTATAGTAAGGTTATAGTAATAATACTGATACTTTTCATTAATAAATTTTAGTAAATATACGCTCCCAAAACCTTTATTAAATTGTTTCGAATATCGATAAGTGTTCTGATAAAAATTCACAACTTTTCCTCTCTTTCTAGAGGATTTTACTTGAACTCGATTAGTTTAAAGAGTCTTCAATATCAGTCCTATTATAAGCTGAAATTATTCAAGTTTCATTTTTCTTAATCTTGAACTTTGCCCTCCTGTGGACGCTTCCAAGCTGAACAAGTGAAAGCTAACTTTGGACAATTAGAAAGTGAATTATAACTTTATGATTAGTATAGCAAAGGCCTTGTGGCGCAATGGATAACGCGTCTGACTACGGATCAGAAGATTCCAGGTTCGAATCCTGGCAAGGTCGGATTTTTTGATTTGACAAGAATATCTAATATATATAACGTAATTAAATGAAATTTCGACTTTTTTTAAACATTTTAACATTTAACAGAGTTAGCAAGGTCTAACATCCAATACACCTCATACACAACAAACTTCAAAGGTGCACCTAGCACATAACAGCAAGGTCAACCTCCCACAAATCTTCAAACACATTAGAGTAAAAACCTCAGACCAATCTCACCTATAGGGAAACCTCAAAAGTGCACCTAACATAGAACAGCAAGGTCAATCCTGCAATAGTACTCAGAATGGAACATACTACTCAACAAAACACATGTAAGGAACAGACACACTCAGTTGAAATTACAATTCATTAGCGCAACAACTGAAGGATTACTAAGAATGCCTGTATACAAATGTTCTGATGTGAAGTGCAAGACTTGCAAAAACATTCTTGCAATTGACTCATGGAGGTCTCCTGATGGACGGATAATGTTAAATATTGAGGAAGTACTTTCCTGTAATACAAGTAAAATTATTTTCCTGGCTACCTGTGACAAGTGTGGAATGTCAGTTACCACCAACACTAGCGTAAACTTGGGACATAAATGGAGAATTTGGACCTCTAAGGTCTCACAAGCCAAACCAAACGGACTGAGTAATGTGATCTCCATATGAAAAAGTGTGGTCCTCAACACATGAAGATGATACCATTCATGACTTATGAGAAAGTCAGGGAGGCCAACAAAATTATTAAAATGTTCAATGGCATTGTTGGAGGTGATTACAAGACCTTAAGAAATTTTCTACGCACAAATAAAGATATCAAAATGGAAATGAGGGAGAGAAAAACTACACTGAGAGAAGTTGAGGTGAGTTTAAACAACATAAAATTTAACCTCACAGAAGACATAAGGGTTAACCTTCCTCCTCAATTTGATGGAGGCATTGATTACTCCATCTTAACTAAAAACTGTTCGAAATGGGTTGTCATGGAAGAAAAATTGGTCAATGACATGAGAGAAGAAATTGCTAGACAGCAAAATGAAATTGCCAACTTAAGAAATGAACTCAATGAAATAAAGAAGGAAACAAGTAACCTCAAGTTAATTAGTGAGGTAGAAAAGGAAGAAATCAAACAACTTAGAAACAACCCTACCTCAGATATGGGGGTTAGTGTTTGGAAAGTCAATAAAGCAGGCATTCTCATTTTTGAACCAGACCTACAAAAGTAGATTCTCAACTGAATTCCTTTCTCTTTTAAGGTTTTCTAACTGTATTTGTTGCACAAAAAAATTTTGTCTATAAAATCTAACTTAGTTACTTCGGACAAATGAAACGATTTCATAAATTGTCCGTCATTTGAATGAGTGTTTTTTAACAATACAGTTTAAATGTAAGAGCCGGAATAGCTCAGTTGGGAGAGCGTTAGACTGAAGATCTAAAGGTCCCTGGTTCAATCCCGGGTTCCGGCAGATGGTTATTTTTTTTAGGTCTATATATCATCAACATTTCGTATAACAGTTATTAAAGATAAAGCAAAAATGAATGATAAACTCTTATCTTTTGACATTTTCAATGAAATGGGAAAAATTAAACTCGTTAACTACTCGTATTATCTGCCAATTAACTTATTAGACTATTAAATTTCCTTTCTCTTTCCAAGATAAATAGAGAGTTTCTTATATTCTTCATCATCTCAATTAGGCCTAAACTAAAATATTTTTTATAGGGAAGTTTGAATATAAGTACTCAGTTATTGTCGGCCGGAATAGCTCAGTTGGGAGAGCGTTAGACTGAAGATCTAAAGGTCCCTGGTTCAATCCCGGGTTCCGGCAGTGGATCACTTTTTTTTTTACATTACTCCTATTAGTTTCCGAGTCAGTCTTCACAAGTAAAATGGTTACAATTTACCATCTAACAATTTTTGATCTTAGCCACTTAGTCATTTTGTTACAGTTACCGTTTTATGCAGATCAACTATTGTAAACGAGATATCTGATTAACTACTTTTAGACGCCCTAATATAAATACTTATTGGGGTAATTCTTGTGATATTAAATGAAATGAAAGGTTACGCATTCAACTGCTTACACTTTTAAATTGATTGTAAAAAGAGCACAGATAGTATACTGTATACAGAAAACTTCAATAGTGTTAAAAATACACTGTTCAAACGGCAGATGTATAATGTAAATGAAACGCAAATAAGCAAAAGTTTATTTCTATCTTATTCTTTAGAGAAAAGATCATTCAAGTATCTTGTGAACAGAGGTACCATGCAAATCTAGTTCAAAGTATTAAATAGTCATTTCTCTTATCATCAACAACTGAATACAAATAGTTCGGAGATGCTCTAACTGATAAAGATAATCTAGAATTTGTAATTAACCTTGAGAATAGATCATTGCATAAATTAACTGTTACAATTATTAATACTTTAATGATATACGATATTGTAACAGATCTACAAATCAATGTATATTTTAATTCTTTAATGAAAATCATGGAAATTTATGGGTTAAATTATAGATCAATTTACTTCTTGAATATTATTATTAAGACAAGATAGTCTAAAAACTTCAAAAGTTAAGATTTCATAATTTACGAATCAACAGAAAGTTGAACTTTGTCAAAAAATAAATTCAGATTTTATAAAAATTCAATAAATAACCCTTCAAGTATCATCGGCCGGAATAGCTCAGTTGGGAGAGCGTTAGACTGAAGATCTAAAGGTCCCTGGTTCAATCCCGGGTTCCGGCAGTGGATCATTTTTTTTTCCTTTCGTATACAAAAGTAAGCAAGTTCTTCTATTAGAATGATTTCTCTCTCACATAGATCAACAATAGTATAAACAGAGTTACAATTTTTTTATAGTTGTTGTAATTTTGTATCCTTCCTTTTTGCCTTTAAATTTAGGCCTAAATATTGAAATATTTTGTCTAGGGAAGTTTGGATACACTTGTATTCAGTTATTATCGGCCGGAATAGCTCAGTTGGGAGAGCGTTAGACTGAAGATCTAAAGGTCCCTGGTTCGATCCCGGGTTCCGGCAGTGGATCATAAGTTTTTCTTTTTAGACATTGGACTTTGTCTTGCATTTTTGTTTAATACGCTATATGGTCCAGTTGCGTTTTTGAAAGTAAAACATAGATAACCCAACTGTAACAGCTGCATGGAAGGGTGATAACCGGACAAATTACAAAGGGAATATCTACAGTATCATACGGTAATCCCTTTCGTTGATAAGGAGAAGAGCCTCCTTAAAGTCGTACTCCGTTCTCTCTTTTGAGTCGACAGATGGCGCTGCAGTTGATGGAAAGAAGATTAGTTCCCGTTATTTTTAGTATGATTATTAGAATAAAGTTGACAATATAATAATAAAAAAAGTGTAAAGCATAAAATTTGTATCATAAAAAAGAAGACTTAAAAGAATTAAAAGCGAAAATAGATTGAACGTGTTGAAAGAAGAATTGAACAATTCATTGTAAAATATATAGTATTATATACAAATACATAGTTATATATGATAACTGACTATTCAATTTGCTCTGAATAAATGACTGGAATTGAAAAAGAGAAAAGGAAAAAGGTAAATTACTATTTTTCTATATTGTTATAAGTTATAAATGCTTGAAAATAATGATATACAATTATTGACCGAATAAAAAGCTTCAAAAAAATCGATATATTTTTCCTTTAGTTGCTCAGCAGTTATTCTGTTTGTATTTATCTGAACGGAAATATGTTGAAATAAAAAGAAGAGGAAAAGATAGCAAACTTTATGACAATAACTGTGATAAGTTCAACAAACTTTTGAATTATATTCTTATTAATTTATTGAAATATTTAAGAATATTTTTAAGCCTATACTCAAATAGTTGGATATACACTGTCGATAAACGTATAGAAGAAAGTATTGTTCGCAAAAGAAAACTTGAATAAGAATTATGGATGATGACAACGATGGTAGATCTTCTGAACAGTTTGATAATGATACAACATCGGGTAGACATTCGTTATGGAGTCAATTTGAAAATCACGTTAAATCTGTAAATGGTGATTCTTCTCATCTACTTGATATTAAAGTTAAATTGAATTTACAAAAGCCAAGTAAGGATTTTTTACTAGTTCAAAAGGAGCTAAAAGATGAGAGAAATAATCAAGATAATAAATCTGATAAGAATGGTGTTTGTTTTAAATCACCCTGTTTTAGAGGTCTGTATTCAATTCATTCCTTATTACTTTTCATTAATAAGAAAACTACAATAAAATTATTGTTACATTAGTTCAATTCGTTCTTGACTCTTTTGAATGTTTTGTCATTAAATCAACTTTCTTTTAGTTACATTTTCAAGGATTTTGTCAATGATATTCTCTCTTTTTTCTTCTTCTTTATCTACGATCTAGTTATTCATAGAAAACCTACTGAAAGAAATCTAAAAGTTCCTACGAAACAAGCTTCAGAAGATGTTAAAAAGGCTGCGAAGCGAGGTTGGCATAAAATAAAACGAAATGTGGAAGACGTTAAAGCTGATAGGAAAGCTGCGAAATCTGAACAGAATTGGGATGTGTTGAAGCATTGTCTAGACGATATGGCCGCTAATGAAGATGCAGTTAAACAAAGACTTTATAATCGTTATTTAAATGATCCGTACAAATGGAGAGAAAACTTGAGCCATTATCCGTCACATGTTAAAATTCGGGTTGAACAGGAGAGACGAGCGCGCGAAAGGGCCGAAAGAACTATTAGTGCCTCTCCAAGAATTAAAAAAATATTTTCGGGAGGAAACTCTCAAAGTGCTCATTCATCAAGACCAACTACGTCAATATCAAAGATTAGACCCAAAAGTACACCTAACATTGAATTCAGTACTCGTCGCACTTACTTGAAGAATGCTTGGAAATAAAACAGTTCAATCAAAGCTTCACTGTATAACAAGTATCGAAAACTAAGAAAGGATATATAGGCTTACAGGTGACAAACAGCTCACATAAAGTCGAATAGTTGATGTATATATATATATATATATTTGCTGTTCATTTAATAATCAATATACATTTGAATAATTGAAGAATTTTTCTTTTTGAGCAATAGTCATGCATATTGATAAGTTAAGCGCAAAAATTTACAGTTTAATTGCTCTTTGACCACGTTATCTTAATATTTAATGAATTCTTCTTAACAAATAGATATAAAATAAAAGTGAAGAAAGAAAAATCCATAATTATCCAACTGGGAAAACAAATATCCTTAATTCTAAATAATTAATTAATACCAAATTTAAAAACTCTATTAAAATCTATCTCTTTCTTCTTTTAGTATTAAATGGAAATATGGAGAAATATGATATGAAAATGACTATCCTAGATAGTTAAATATTACTTAGTTATACATATATAGTACTTTTTGTTTTGTCTATATATGAGTTACTTTTGTTTTGCTAAGCTCTCTTTTAAAAAGAAGCTACATTTTCGAAATAATAAGATTGATTTATTATTGAAAATTCATTATATTATTAATAAAATGAATCATTGTTCTAAAAGGTAATTATACAAAATAATAGTATTCTTATAGATGAGAGAGACGCTCTCTCTCTCTCTCTATCTTTCTTTCTTTCTGTCTTAGAGATTTGAATCCTACGCAAACAGAATTTTGTAACTAGATCATTGGTAACGTGTTTTTTTTCTCTTTCTTCTACAGTTGAAACTTACATTTCATACATTTAATTGATAGAGTAACGCCATCTGATGAGAAAAACAGACAAAATGAATAAGTAAATTATTCAAGTTTGAATTAAAAGATTTCATCAGGATTAAAAGTGAACTTTTATTGTTAAATATTTCAAATGCAGTATAAATATAGTAAAAAATCTTTGTGTTTCAAAAAAGGTAATTTATGGAAAAATATGACAAACATAGACATTATTCAATAGGTCTGGCTTGCCTAGTTTTATATAAAAGTATATCTTTTTTATATCTATGTTTGTGAACTCTTCTTCACAATTGAAATAATATGATTTGAAATTATCGTATGATCTTATTATTTTACTATTCTCACATCTTTCCGACTTATCTCCATTATTATAAAAGAAATTTACGTATATATCATTTTCATCTTCATCATTAAACTTCATAGTGAGCTCGGCTTGCCTATCTTGAAGATCTATAAATTGATTGTTCAAACTATTTTCAGTTATTAGAACAGTCGTATTCGTCAGAGGCACGCATGTCTCTACTAAATCATCCATAAGATTATTGATTGGTGTAAATGTGCACGGGGAATCTCCCATTCCAACCACTCTTCCCTCTAGTTTCATAAAAGCATGTTGGGAAATTTTAATCGATTAAATTTATTGCAGCATACCTTGATCATATACTTTGAAACTATTCATATTTCCTTCATACATGCTTTTCAGAGACAATTCGACAATGTCAAAACGAGAATTAATATTCATGGAAGCCGTGATGTTTTTTCCATAAGTATATCCTTCACCAAAGTTAAGCTTATCTTCAGAAAAGGTAAACCAATAGTTTTTAGTCCAGTTACATTCAATCAGAGCATTGTCAAATTGCAATGAGCTATTAGCTATTCGTATTTCTGATTGGTTTCCGTATGGCACTGGAAGATCCATATTTATTCGAAACAGCTCCTTAACTACATTCATAAAGACAATAGTCAGACCTCCACAATACCCGGAAGAGTGAGTAGTAATTCCTTTGACGCTAAAGCTGAAAGCTGTAATATAATTTTGCAGCCTTTGAGGAAAATAGTAAGAAACGAAGTTGGTCGATTGAATTATAAATTCTTTGTGATAAGTAACTGTAAAGTTATTTTAAATGAAACATATGCTATTAAATATCATCTGTTTTAAATGATAGGTGAATAAAGCTATACTTTGCGTAAAAACTTGTAAAAAGGCAAGTCCAAAATATGAATGTTGTGAATCATAGATTTCCATTATTGTAAGTTTAACTGATTCCTCATAGATTAGAGGATTGTGAGGAAAACAAACTCTTTTCATACTCTTTGGTAGTTGAAGATAATCTACCAGTCCTGAACTCCATTGTGCCTTGTAAATTTTAACATAATCTGGTCTGGACTCTCTGCTCAAGTGTGTCGGTAAGCAATTATTTATTTAATCATTTGAGCAAGAATACCTATTTGCGAGACAGATTTTCTCTGGTTTGTTTGGTATAGATAACTTAAATGTTGCATAAACTCCCAAGCATGCTTCCGTAATACACGAAAGAGCCCATTCATATACATTAGAGCCATACGCTGAAAAGTGATCCATAGCTTGTGAACACAACCACGTTCCAGAAAAATCTAGAATAGAGCTCATGCAGCTAGCACCTGAAAACTTGTCAGCAATATTCGTCAAGTATGAATCACCCTTCCTTCTTTGCGTTGAATCTAGATGAAATATTGAAAAAAGACAGAATTTTAGAGAGTTGAAAGTTTTATTTTATCAATTTACTATCGTAAGTAAATGCCATTATTGACCCAAAACCATAATCAAATTTCATAATTGTACTAGTTTCTAAAATTCGAATTTCAATCCAATCTGAGTTCTTTCCAATATCTTTTTCTAGTAGGACGCAAATCTGATATTTGTCTTTTAAAGGAGAAATTGTCATAATTTTATTCGATCCGCCAAAAGTTACTTGAACTTTAGTTAAATAATAGTCTGGATGTAAAAGACGTGTCTCAAAACATAGTTCTATTATATCGTATGTCTTGTCGAAGTTAACTTTAAGATTTTCTTGAGGGCAATTCACTGTAGACTGACAATGCGCAACCCAATCTCTCTGATTTATCCAACTAGGTTTTAAAGCATTCTCACAAACAAATGTGTATACATTGCTTGGGTGGATTGAACTAGCAGAGCATGTTGCACCATTTGTCTCTAGTGCAGCGTTAATCAACCATCCATCTGCTAGACTAATAGCTTAAAGAAAATTACTTGATTAGTACAATAAAAAAGTGACCTGTATTGATGGATGACCAAAGTGGAATAAGGGAATAAAATATCAACTGAAAAAACAATCTTTTCATGTTATTCACATTCAATTTTCTTGAAAAGTTTCAATCTAAATCGCACAGTGCTGTGTCTTTTCTGAGTTGAATAGAAAATAAAATATATAAAGGAAATAGATACAAAATATTCAAATTTTAATATTTGATTAAAAGAAGTAAAAGGCAATGAATGTTCATTCATTATTTTTTTATATCAATAAAAAATTAATGTTTTTATATGAGCTCTCTCTCTCTCTCTCTTTCTCTGTTGAAGTAACAACAAAGGCTAACCTAAAGTTCAAATGTTCATTATTTCACAATTCTTTTTAATTATTAATACTATAATTGTTCCATATTTTAGACCAGTATTGCTAGTGGTGATTATACATTATTACACCTGTACAGGATGTATTTGCATAAACTTAATCTAATTTTCGTTTCCACATTAAACCAGTAATTTACATGTTATTTTATTTATTTATATTTATTCTAAGCAATTAACTGTTGGTTATAAAACAGAATCTAATAGACCAATAAAAAGAAAGAACTGTTGATTTAACGTATAAAAAATCGATAAGGATCGTCACACCTGCTAAAATAAATTCCTTTTAGTTGTTTTTATACAATTTTAATAAAATTTTTAATAAACTTTCTCTATTATTGTTTATATTTAAATAGAGAATATTACTTTTTCATTCTTCTACACTATTTTAATAAATAAACAATAAACAATAACTTGAAATACATAAATGTATGATTCATATTATCTTTAATAAAATAGTCTTATCTTTAGCTATCGCAAAAAAAGTTTAAAAGGAAGATAAATTAATCAATATTACAATATTGAATATCATATATCAGAGAATTCTGAAAAAGGATATGTACGGTTAAAGTTTATTCTCGTATTAACAAGATCAAAGGAAACAAAGGATAAATTTCTTTTCCATGCTCAAGCAAAGATATCTTCTTAATTATCTTGTTTTAATGTTCATTAATATTGAATTAGTGAATGTGTTTCGTTCTGTTAACTAAGAGAAAAGTCGTTAATTAATTTCTTTTGAGAATTGACAATGCTCATTCAATCTTTGGCCGAATTGAGTTTACAGATTGTAATTTTGAATTGGCAGTATGTTTTTAATAGATTTTGGAGAATTCGGAGGAATTTTACACTTCCATTTAAAATCTCTAATAAGCTGTTGAAATTAATTAGTGATCAGGAGAATGGTCTTCCCGATGAGTATTTACAATGGTTTACGTATGATAAATGCACTCTAAGTGTTGTGAAGATATGCCTAAAAAATTTAAGTCATCCAAACTCGTTGAATCTGTTAAGGTATCATAAAATTAGGACTGTTGAATTATCTGGATTGACATTTTTCGATTTGAAAGACTGCCTAAGTGTTTTTGATAGTGAATCCTTAAGGGAGTTATCTATACAAGGATACCATAGAAATGAAAGTGATTCTGCTGATAAAGTTCACCTGAACGCATTACATCTTTGCCGTTTTACGAACTTATTGAGTTTAAATATCCGTTGTACCTCTTTCCGAAATAGGGACTTGAAATTACTATCTCAAGAATTCCCATTGTTAGAAGTATTTGATATAAGCAATACAGAAATAACGACGTGTAAATACATCTCCAGTATGAAAACACTAAAAAAATTGATTTGCGCCGGAATGAGGAATGATTGTAAGATAAATATCTATCACCTACCTCTATTGGAATATTTGGATGCTTCTTGTAACAATTCCTATACCATCTCACCAATTTTCGTTAGTAATTTTCCAAAATTGAAATATTTGGAAATATTTGGCCTAGATTTTAGTCATAGATTACAAACTGAGTAAAGAAATTGTAACTTTATTAATGCTAAGTATTATCATTATCATTGATTTTTTCTTTTCAGTACTTTCGAAGCTGAACATAAGAATCTTTACTACGAGAATTTTAGCTTTATTGATCCTGCTTTCAAGATTGAAAAATACCGGAAATATAAAGTAAAATATTACTAATTTTACATCTTTTTTAAAGTATCCTTCATATCAATTTCAATAG